TTTTTCCCAGTGCGTTACAGGTACTGGCTGTGTAACTTGAGATGTCTAAGTCATAAAACAGAATTATAGCCTCGGTGATTTAAACAGTGACGTAGAACTAAACACGGAGTGTGTTCACACACGAGTTTATAAGTGCCAGAACAGAACTGTGGGCAAGAAAAAAATAAGATGAAATAACCTTTTTATTGACATTGACGAGTTTCCGGGAGATTATGGACACTCTTCAGGGATGGAGGCGGGGAACGGGAGGCCGGGCTGGTGCTGAGTGCTGGCTTGCGTATCACCTGTGCCTGCTGCCTGCCCAGGGCTCAGGAGCAGAGAGTCCCACGACAGTGCCTTCCCGCCACTTACCCAGTACCCACTACCCACACCACCCCTGCAGGTCCTTGAATGTTACTGGATGCTTCCTTGCTTGAAGTAACCCAAGTCCCATTAAAAAAATTAAAATTAATTTGAAAAAGAGAAATAACCCAGTGCCTGGCAATGAGGTGCGGTGGGTGCTCTCCCTTTCCCGCATCCCGCACGGAAAGGGCGAGCACAGGTTTCTGAGCGGAGGAGCGGGGGATCAAGAAATTAAAGGAAAAGACCGAGAGGCAGAAATAGGTCCAAGAGCTGGGTGCCCGGTGGAGGCTGTCACTCTGATGGAGGGACAGTCAACACCCACCACAGACAACACCGCACGTTATGGATTTCCAGAGGGGGTTAAGGTCAAAGGAGTTTTGGCTGTGCCCAGGTCCTATTCATTCCCTCATTCCTGGGATTTAGCGTATCAAGATCTGGGCAAGTGAAGGTCCTATTCGTTCCTCATTCGAATCACATGGATAAAGATCTCTGCCATTCTGGGAGGCTGTTTCCTCAGACTCAGCTGACATTAATTTAAGGGTCATCCAGGTGCCTTCCCAAGGGGCCCTCTACAGGTGCTGCCACAGGACCCCTCTCCAGTGCTCCTAGGTTGGGGGTCCACAGCCCTGCATTTGAGCTCCTGGCCCAGAATCAAAGTGTGAAGTGATCTGAGAGATTGAGTTTTGGAATTAAGGAATGTCCAAACCTGTAGAGAATTTTTATGAGTATTTGAGCCAAACTAATGATTGCCTGGAAGCCAAATCTCAGTAGACGGAGAAAATGCTCTGGAGAATGGCCGCTTTTCAGCTTGCTTTATACATCAGAATCAGAGGAGGCACTTCAGGAGGGTTCATACCTCCACTGGTGGAGGATTCAGAGGGTGGAGGAAGCAGAGCGAGAATCTCTGGGATTGGATAAAAAGACAAAGTAGAGACATATTTCTCTTACATCGGTGGGTACAGGACAGTTCATAATAAATATTTACAGCACATAGAGATGGTATTGGGAACAAAGACCAATGAGGTGTCCTGTGGCCTTTTACTTTTTTAAATTTTATTTATTTGCTGATTTGAGAGAGATCTGTTGTTCTACTTGTTTATGAATTCATTGATTGGTTCCCGTGTGTGCCCTTACTGGAAACTGAACCTGCAACCCTGAAGTATCTGGACGACACTAACCCGGTGGTCGGCAAACTGTGGCTCTTTAGTCCCTTGAGTGTGGCTCTTCCAGAAAATACAATGGCCTGGGCGAGTCTATTTTGAAGAAGTGGCGTTAGAAGAAGTTTAAGTTTAAAAAATGTGGCTCTCCAAAGAAATTTCAATCGTTGTCCTGTTGATATTTGGCTCTGGTGACTGATGAGTTTGCCGACCACTGGTCTAACCAATTGAGCTACTTGGCCAGGACAGGTGTCCTGTGGCCTTGTGCCAGCTCAGCAGTTGTGGCCTGAGGGACTAAAAAGATTATTCTGACATGTGTGTTGTCTTAGATGCAAAAAGACAATAGGCTCACAGTAAAAATTGAGCTTTCACTGAAACCAGTTTGGCTCAGTGGATAGAGCGTCAGCTTGCGGACTGAAAGGTCCCAGGTTCGATTCCGGTCAAGGGCACCTACCTTGGTTTCGAGCACATCCCCGCTGGGGGGTGTACAGGAGGCAGCTGATCGATGTTTCTCTCTCATCAATATTTCTGACTATCTCTTTCCCATCCTCTCTGTAAAAAAATCAATAACATATATTTTTTTAAAAATTGAGCTTTGTCAAGGAAGCTACAGGTCCAGGCCTAGGATGGGCCACCCACCACGACCTGCTTTTCCTTGGGAATTTTTAGGTTCAGGCCTTCCTACGTGGTTACTTTCCATCTCTGAATCTGTAAGACCTGCCACGGGCATCTCCTCTGCGCTTGTCCGGTTTAGTCTGCGGCCCCTTTTCCATCCGCAGAGTTCAACGCTCGGTCTTCAGAAAAAACACACATGGGACCGGGGAGGTGGCGGGACATGTGCTGGCCATGCGGCCAGCTGGGGGAAGGCTCGGACCACACGTGGCCTGCTCTCCTGCTCCCTCCACCAGCCACTTTCATCTCTTCTGCTCCTGGTGACACTTGATCATTTATTGATGGGTGAGAACCGGCACATGGGAGAGTCTATAGGATCTGTGGCAACAGCCAGATGGTCCTGAATGAAACATTAATAAAGCACACGCAGATGGAGTTACTAAAACTTCATACACACAGGCGGAGGGCCAGCGGCAGTGTTTGTTTTCTGGACCTGCTAATAACCGAGACTTTCTCAGACAGGACGTAAAAGGGGAAATCAGCCTCTAAATTGTGAGCTGAGAAATGTTTTGGTTCCGGTAGGTATTTGGGATAAAGAAGGATTTTAAATGTAATTTGATCTCAACGACAAAGTTTTTGGAATGTTTCTTTCAAATGGGTTCTAGACTTATTGGGGCAATCACTTCATAAATTATACAAATGTCCAACCACTATGCTGCACACCTGAAACTATCAATAATATAAAGATTGACTGTAATTGGAAAAGGCAGGTAATGTCCTCAGAGCCATGCCTGGCAACAGTAAGTTGAGAGTGCACTATAGAGATCAGTTGTGTCCTCAGACTTCGCATTGAGAGGCGATGGACGGGACAAAAGGAGTGATTTTGAAGCCATGGACTAACCGTTAGGCCAAAAAGCTCAAGCACCCTCAGTTATAAGCCGTCACCCACGCCGATAGAGAACGGGCTTGAGGGTGGGGACCTCATAAACATTCCGTTCTTAAGACTCATGGCCCGGGTCAGGAGGCAATGACCTCTGATAACAAGCCAGAGTCATCACTGTATGGCTTTATGGAGGCAGAGAACCAATAGCCAGGATGACATGTCTCCAGACAGGGCCAGGAGAGTGCTCGTCCCTCCCCCGTACCCGGCCCCTCTGGCCAGGCAGGGCCCTCAGAGGACCGCCAGGCTCACCCCTGGCTGTTCCCTCATTCACCAGCAGCCGTTCATGGGCACCTACCCTGCGCCAGGCACTGCAGAGACGAAGGAGACCCTACGACCAGGTTGGAGAAACAAAGCAGAAGGATGCTTTAATGAACTTCACCTTCATCTACTGACCACCAGGCATCTGGTACTGTTAGGTGCTGGGTATTGTGAACAAAACAGACAAAAGGCCAAAACCGGTTTGGCTCAGTGGATGGAGCGTCGGCCTGTGAACTGAGGGGTCCCAGGTTCGATTCTGGTCAAGGGCATGTGCCTTGGTTGCAGGCACATCCTCAGTGGGGGGTGTGCAGGAGGCAACTGATTGATGTTTCTATCTCTCTAGCTCTCTCCCTTCCTCTCTGTAAAAAAAAAAAAAAAATCAATAAAGTATATATAAAAAAACACACACACACACAACAGACAAAAGACCCTGCCCTCATGGAGCTGGCATTCTAGGAAGGAAAAGATAGAACAGGCTATGAACAGAGCATGACATGTGCCTGGAGCCGTGCAGAGGAGGACAGTAAAGCCGGAGAGCACTAGGAGCGATCCTGCAGGGTGGTGGACTGTCCGTACCTTTCACTGGAGTACAGGTGGTCCCCGGCTCACCATGGTTGGACTTAGCATTTTCCACTCCGCGATGGTGTGAAAGCAACATGCAGCCAGCGGATGGATACATATCCAGGAACATGCTAGGATTCTTCCTCTGCACCAGCCTGGACACTCAGCGCTACGCAGTGTTTCAGAATCTAATACATTAGATGATAATTAGATGACTTTGCCCACCCGCAGGCCAATGGAGGGGTTCTGAGCGTGTTTAAGCGGGGCGAGGCCAAGCTGTGATGTCTGGTAGTTTGGGTGCATTAAATGCATTTTCCCCTTCCGACGGGTTTATCTGGCTGTCACCCCATCTTAAGCGGAGGAGTCGGGAAGGGCTTTGCTGAGATGAATGCCGGGAGGGGGGGGGGGGGGGATTGGGGTAACTGGAATCCGGATCCAAGCCTCTTCCCTGGCCCGCAGCCAGCGTCCGGAGACTCCCGCTTGGGAGCCTCAGGCAGCACCGCCTTCCTCCGGCTTCCCCGCCGGACAGACACCCCGAAAACTGCCGGGAGCAGGGGGTGCAGGTGGCGGTCCCCGGCCCTGCGCCCACCGGCCATCGGCAGCGATGGGGGCACCCGCGATGCGCAGCCCCGGCCTCGCTGAGCACCGGGTGTGAGGGTGGTCCGGCCCCGGAGGAGCGGGAGGACCTTATAGTCACCCGGATCCATGCGGGACCGAGTGCGGGCACACCCCACCCCTCTCCCGCCGAGCCGCCGTCCGCGCGGCCGGCGGTCCCCGGGCGCCGAGGGCCCCGCGGCCCTGAGCCCGGAGCCCGCTCCCGGGTGCGGGGGGGGGGGTCTCCGCGGGCCGCCCCGCCCGCGGCCCCCCCGTTCCCGCCCCCCCGGCCCCCCAGCTCCCGCCCCCGGCCCCGCCCCCGGCCCCCCGCCCGCCTCGGCGGCAGCCCTGGCTCCGGGCTCCCAGCGCCCCGCACAGCGCCCTCCCTCTGTCCCCGCCGGGCGCGCCCCCGGCCCCGGGCCCCCCCCCCCCCCCCCCCCCCCCCCCCCCCGCCCCGCTGCAGGGGCGGGACGAGCACAGTCCCGCCCGGCCGCCCGGCCCCGCGGGCGGGGGATCCGGATGAGACCCGCCCCTCCCGCCCCTCCCGCCCCTCCCGCCCCGGTCCGCGCGGAGGCGGGGGCTGAGCTGCAGCGCGGGAGGTGAGTGCGGGCGCCCCTTCCTCTCCGGGGCCCCCTCCGCTGTCCCCCTCCGCTGTCTCCCCTGTCTCCCCTGTCTCTCCTGTCTCCCCTGTCTCCCCTGTCTCCCCTGTCTCCCCTGTCTCCCCTGTCTCTCCTGTCTCCCCTGTCTCTCCTGTCTCCCCTGTCTCTCCCTAAGGGGGGCGGGTCCGCCGGCTGGACCGCTGCCCGCGTGGCCCCCTCCGGTCCCCCTTCCCCTCCCCGTCCTCCCTAAGCCCCCTCCCCCTCCCCCTCCCCCTCCCTCCCCTGCGCGCTGCCGCCGCCTCCCCCGCCGGCGGCCGGGCAGCGGGCACCGTCTTCCCGCCGCCCCCTCCCTCCGCTCCCCTCCCTCCGCTCCTCGGCCTTTGTTCCGAGTCCCTGCGGGGCGCGTGCAGGGTTCCCCCGGGGCCGGGCAGGGGCCGGCGGAGCCCGCAGACTGGGCTCCAGTCCTGCGCCGGAGCCACCCGCCCGCCGGGGTGAGGGTGGGGCCGGGCCCCCCGGGGTTCTCGGCCGGGGAGGGGGCACTGATCCGGGCGCTCAGGTGCCAGCCGCTCCGCCCGCACCCGGGGTCCGGGGTCCGGGGGGCCGGGGGCCGGGAGCCGGGGGCCGGGGGCCGGGGGCCGGGGGCGGGCGGGCGAGCGGCTCCGGACTGGGGTGGGGAGGGGGTAGGAAGGGGGGCGCTGGCCGGCGGCCTCGGTGCAGGGAGCGGGCGGGCGGGCGGCTCCGGGCTGGGGGGGGGGAGGGAGGGGGGCGCTGGCCGGCGGCCCCGGTGCAGAGCCTCTGGAGCGGGGGCGGGGGTGCAGGGATGCGGGGGGTGCCAGGCTGTCGCCGTCCCGGGGGGCGGGTGGGCCGCGGAGCCCCGGGGAGCGGACCAGGGAGGAGCCGGCTTCAGGTGCTCCCGGGAGGAGGGCGCACGCAGCGCCAGGGGAACGCAGACCCGTGGGGCCCAGAAGCCAGGCCCAGCTCCCAGTGCCGCCCGCAGCTCCTGCTTGCCCGCGCCCAGCGGTGCGCCTCTTCCTGTTCTCTCTGGAACCCCAAAGGTAAGGTGACCAGGCGTCCCTTTTGGCGGGACAGGCCCGATTTTCAACAATTTGTCCCACGCTTTAAAACGCGGGGGGACGAGGGACAGTTGTTAAAAATCAGGACGTCTGGTCACCTTACCAAAGGCACCAGTCTTCCCAGCCTCTCCCCAAAGCCTGTGCTGCCTCCTCACCCAGCCCCCCCCCCCGAGCCCCGCCTGTCTGACCATCAATGGGTGCGTGTGCCTGTGTTTAATTTCATACAATGATTTTTAGTTCAGGAAGACAGGATAGGGTACTTGGTCTTGAGTTTGTCTTGTAAAAGCAAGCTCGGCTACTGGGGCCTGAGCACCAAAGAGGACATAATAGAATGACGCTGTCTCAGTAGATGCTACTTCACCTCGTTATGGAGGAAACTGAGATAATTCAGAGGGTGAAGCGGTTAGCTGGGAGGCCAGTCCCGCGGGTCCCATCCCTGGAGCTAGGAAACACGTGCTCCAGAGTCAAGGTTTTTGCTTCCACCGAATGGAAGTTTACCCTTCTGAGCACACTTCCTTCCTTTATAAAAAGAGTAATTTGTAGCCCAAATTAAAAAACAAAACAAAACACCAAAACAAATTAAAAAATAACAACAACTGAGGAGTCACCTGAGTAGGGCGCTGAGGACTCAGGTTGGGAGGCAGGTGGGCCTCCTTGCGAGCTCGGCTTGGCTCTAATCAGTGGCCGGCAAACTCATTAGGCAACAGAGCCAAATACCAACAGTATAACGATTGAAATTTCTTTTGAGAGTCAGATTTTTAACCTTCTTCTAACGCCACTTCTTCAAAATAGACTCGCCCAGGCCGTGGTATTTTGTGGAAGAGCCACACTCAAAAGGCCAAAGAGATGCGTGTGGCTCGGGAGCTGCAGTTTGCAGACCACGGCTCCAATGTGAGATTTAGCTCCAAGTTGGGTTTGTTGCTTGGATGGAGGGAGACTCACACCAGGAGGAACCCGGGGTGGGTGTCAGCAAGTGGGTGTTGGAAGTGAAAGGATTGGCTGTAAGGGTTTGGGGGAGCGGTAAGGAAATTCAACACACACTTGGCCCTGATGGCTGCTGCCAGGAGGTGGGGACATCGTCCTGAGGATCTTCCTAGATCTTGTCTCAGAGGGAAGACTGAGGCTGTGGTTGGCAAGGAACAGCCGTCCCTCACCATGACGGTGGCACAGTGGGGGGGGGGTGTGGTCATTTTTCTGGTTTGGACAGCGTTCGGATTGGCCTTGGCTTTCGTCTTGATTTGTCGTGACCAGCCTGACGTTCTGTGACATTGTCCCAGTTCACGGGCCCACGCCTCGAACCACCGGGGCGAGGTCCTAGGACCCCGCAGCTTCCGGATGTCAGGGCCGCTGCTCTTTTCTCTTGTGACGTTGGGCAGGTGACTTTGAACTTCAGTGTCCACCCCTGTGACGTGGGCACAGGCCTCCTCAGCGTTGCTGTGCAGATTAAGGGAGGAAATGCGGGGAGAGGATTGCCCAATGCCTGGCACACGGCGGGCACTCGGCACCCAGCTGCCCCTCCCCCGCTTGCTGTCGTTGATTTTGACATGGAGGCTTCTTCCCTGGAACCAGGCGGCGAGCGGAGGCCTGTGATCAGCCACAGCCGCCCGGGAGGAGCGTCTTGAATGGGAAGATTTGACTCTCGTTGCTCTGAATCAGGCTGAAGACCGGACAGGGTGGTCACAGCATCTTCTCATGCAGATTCTTCCTTTGGCAACGACCTTTAGGACTCTGCTCCCAGGAGCCAGGGGCCCCAGTTGGCCCTGTGTCCTTCTGACTTGGTCTCGTCTTGGCCCTGTGCCCTTCTGACTTGGTGTTGTCTTGCTTTCTTGGTCTCTTCCTTGGAGCCTCTTGTCCAGGAGTCTGGGTTAAGCTTGCATGCCCTGACCACACTCACTGTGGCTCTCCGAGGCCCGAGGGGAGCTGGGAAGCCACATGGCGGAGATGGGGCCGCCTGCTGATAGAACTGTCACTGAGAGCCCGGGGCTGGGGGGCAGCCCAGGGGGGCCGTGGGGGTTGGGCCAGGAGCCTTTAGAGCAGAATCTCTCTGGACGCCATGTTCACCTCCTTCTAGGTGACATTTGAATCTGAAGTCTGGCTTCCCCTTAGTTGAGATAGTTTTGTGCTTGTCTGTCTGGCAACATGGGCTTCAGATCCTTCAGCTAGCTCTAATTCTTAAAAACGAATTTTTTTTTTTTTTAATTTTTCCTGGCCAGACAGCTACTTTAGGTGTTTCAGAATGGCATGGCAGCTTATCTGCCAGCGGCTGACTCTATTGTTTTGCTTTTCTAGCCTAGAGCCTGCCTGATTTAGTATTTGAAAAGTTTCTAGGAATAAGAAAAGAAAAAAAAGAGACAACAGAAAATGAGCCAGTGTCCCAGTTCAAGAGGCTTATTTCATTTATAGTAAAATAACTAGAGGCTGGTGCATGAAATTCGTGCATTGGGGAGGGGGGCATCCCTCAGCCCTCTAGGAATCCGGGACCTCTGAGGGGATGTCAGGCCTACGCCAGCAGCCAGACATCCCTCTCGCAATCCGGGATGCTGCATACACGAGGGACCACACTTTTCATACAGGTGGAAGGCATCTTGCTGCTGTATGGGCAGCTACATTTGTTTGCCCTGATTATAAAAAAAAGTCGTACATAACACGATCCTTCTGAGGCAGTAGTACCATTTCCCCTACCTTCTGGGCGGAAAAACCGAAGCAGAGAGAAGTTAAGTAATTGGCTTTGTCACACAGTTGTGTCAGAATCAGGGCTGACCACAAATTGTGCAAACCAGAGTCCATGCATGTCATCGCTGCATCATCCTGTTTTTTCAGTGTCAGAGGAGCCTTGCCAGGGTTAGAAAAGTCTCTTAAATCTAAGAGACTGTTCCCAATACATAAGGTAGGGTCCCCTAGGCCTGGCTGGCCATCAGGGCCATCTGTGGGGCAACTGGCGGGCGGGACAGTGCCCTCCCTCCCCCCCACCGCTGGCACCCACCTTGGCTGGCAGCCTGGTGCTGCCTGCTCACCGTTTGCACGCCCAATTGCTGCCACTGATTGCCTCCCTCTTGTGAGGGGTGGGGGCAGACACTCAATGCAGGAGCCGTGCCCAACCCAGGGCAGCTCCTGTATCGAGCATCTGCCCCCTGGTGCTCAGTGCGCGTCATGGTGACCAGTTGTTCCGCTGTTCAGTCAATTTGCATATTAGAGTATTATTTTATAGAATGTAACTTGAAACTGTACTGAGATACCATTTTTCACCCATGAGACTGACACAAACATAAAAAATGGATAACGCACTGTTGTTGAGACTGATGCTCTCCTACCTCACTGGTGACTGCAGAATGCTGCAACCTGTGGCTTCTGGGTACGTTTACGCACAGGCCTTGCAGCCCCTCTTCTTCTTCTTCTTTTTTTTTTTTTAATCAATCTTTATTGTTCATATTGTTACAAAGGTTCCTCATTTCTTCCCCCCTCCACCAGGTTCCCACCCCACCCTCCGCCCCCTCCCCATCCCCCACTGTCCTCATTTATAGGTGCACAGTTTATGTTCAGTCTCTTCCTCCCTCCCTTTCCCTGATAGTAAATCCCTTTTCAGATAGTAAATCTGTTACTTAGCATTTTCTCATATCAATAATACCTCCACATGCCCAAAGATACACTTCACACAAAAGACATTTCCAAATAGGTCAACCAGCCTCATCTAGGCCCCACCCAAGGCACTCACAGATCAACACCCCAGCGCTGTACTAACTCAACACATCCAGATCTAAGCCTTCATCACTTGATTCAGCAGACCCTCAAGTTCCCACAGAAGTTTCCAGCCATGTCTGAGAGGCCGCCGTGGGGCAGGGGCAGGCGAGAAGCGAGCTGTTCCGGGCCTGGCTGCTCCGGGCCTGGCCTCTGTTTGCAGCCCCTCTTCGAAACATCTTCCTTCAGGTGCTCTTGCCAACGTAGGAGGAAGACACACATTCAGGGGCATTTAGGGTGGCATTTTTATAGTAACAAAAATGTAGAAAAACACCCAGGAGGTGGGCGACACAGGACTGATTAAGTGAAGTGGTGTGACCCGTGAGGGGGCATGTGCAGCTGCGGTGAAGGACTCACATGGAAAGCCTCCGGAGATCCCCACAGGACACGAAGGCCATCTACCTGGAGGGGAGAGGGATGAAGGGTAGATGGGACCAGGGAGGAGAGGGATTTCCTGGTGTATGCATTTTTTCACGGTTTAGATAACTGAGCCATGTCCACAGAGTATGTATTCACACATAGTATAATAAGAAAGAGCCCTCTGACTCAACGTCACAGGAGAATATTCTCAGAGCGCCTTGACTGGATGAGCTGATTGGAACAAACACAAAGCAGCAGCCACCGCATTAGCTCTCCCTAAAGTACCTGCCCTGTTAAGGGGGAAAAAGGGCTGTTTGATGTTAGATGGGAAAACGTCAACTTAGGATAAGGTGACTGGACATCCCGCTTTTGGCAGGATAGTCCCGATTTTTAACAATTTGTCCTGCAGTGTTTTAAAAAAGAATTTTTGGAAAGATTCTTCCAATGTGTCTCTTCTTTCTTCCTTGAGCTGAAGAGGCCTTCATTTCTGGGTTAAAAAGTATTAGCTGGGCCGAAACCGGTGTGGCTCAGTGGATAGAGTATCGGCCTGCGGACTGAAAGGTCCCGGGTTCGATTCTAGTCAAGGGCATGTACCTTAGTTGCAGGCATATCCCCAGTAGGGAGTGTGCAAGAGGCAGCTGATCAATGATTCTCTCTCTCTTCCTCTCTGTAAAAAAAAATCAATAAAATATATTTTAATAATAAAAAAAAAAGTGCTAGCTGGTTACTTTCCATTAATGACGGGGGAAATCACAGAGGGCAGAGGAAAAGTCCATCGGAAGGGGTCAGATACAAATCGGGGTGGTCAGTGTGTTGTTCTGGGTCTCTGCCTTCCAAACACTCGGTGTAGGATCGTATTTTCCTGAGCATAATCATTGGCTGCAGCCATGTGACTAGGTCTAACAAATTGTGAGCAGGCCTGATGGATGTCAGTTTGGGGCCAGAGCGTTTCATTGCTTGGGTGAGACTTTCCAGATGATGACCAACCATGCTGGGGTGATGGCTGCATCCCCCAATGACGGTGGTGCCATAGCTCACCGTCCTCCTCTATTGGCCATGAGATTTAAAGGTTATTTGTTTCTGATGTGTAGCCTCACTTTTCCTGACTTAATACACATATTTCTTTTTTTTTTAAATTTTTTTAAAAATATATTTTATTGATTTTTTTACAGAGAGGAAGAGAGAGGGATAGAGAGTTAGAAACATCGATGAGAGAGAATCATCCATCAGCTGCCTCCTGCACACCCCCCACTAGGGATGTGCCCGCAACCAAGGTACATGCCCTTGACCGGAATCGAACCCGGGACCCTCCAGTCCGCAGGCCGACGCTCTATCCACTGAGCCAAACCGGTTTCGGCTTAATACACATATTTCTTTCAGTTTTTCACTTTGATTTCTTTGCCATCTTCTGAACTCAAGCTAGAGAATGTCATGTATACTGATAGATACGAGGGAGGAAACAGGTAATTTTAGGAAAAAAGAGTCACAAAATATAATAACTTATTTAATTTGGGATAACCTTATTTTTCCAGGTAATCTGGAGTTCTCAAAATGTTTGCCAAAGCAACAAAGAATTTCCTCAGAGAAGTTGATGATGGCGGTGATCTGATCCCAGTATTGAACCTGAATGACTCTGACAAGTTACACCTTCTAAGTCTGGTGACCAAAAAAAACAGATTCTGGTGCTGGCAGAGACCCAAATACCAGTCTTTGTCCGTCGCCCTGGGAGATGTGTTTACAGAAGAACAGCGTCTGAGTCCAGGTATGCTTCTCCTTCTTCTTGTTTGCATTTAGCCCCAGAACAGAAGACGATGATTCTTCTAGGTGCATATTGTCTTGAGTGACTGTGAGGTGGTCCCTTGTGATTTTTCCCTGTTTCTTGCCTCGTGCCTTGAAAACATCTCTTTTTTTCAAATGACATCATTCTGCAGACCTGACATGAAAAGTGATAGCTTAATTTTTTGTTAATCCTCAACCAAGTATATTTCCCCCCCTTGATTTTTAGAGAGTGTGGAAGAGAGGAGAGAGACACACAGAGGGAGATACATTAGATGTGAGAGAGACACATCGATTGGTTGCCTTCTGCGCGTGTCCCTACTGGGGCCAAGGATGGAACCTGCAACTGAGGTAGTGCCCTTCCCAGAATGGAATCTGTGACCCTCGGGTCAGGGAAATGGAGAAAGCCAAGTGGGAACTTCCTAAGAGACTCTCAGGGCATGTTAGGGGGGATGATGACTTGAGGCTATTTTTGTTGGATGAAAAAAACCTAAGCAATAGAAATCAGGAGCATGGCAGCTCAGGTATGAGACCGTTAGATATTTGTTTAGTGTTCAGATAAGAAGGGCAGATCTCTAAGGCAGTCACCTGGGTGTGACCAGGTGAGGCACATGGCAGTTCCCAGGAGACCCACGGAAGCCCGGGCACCAGGTGGGTGGTAGCATGTTCCTGAGAGTGCCTGGGCGCCGGGGAGGAAGAATGGAGAGTCTGGAGCTTGTGCCTTTCAGGGTGGGATCTGAGGGAGGGGGAGGGCTTGCCCCTGAAAGACAGAGATAAGGAATTGCCTGATAAGGAGCTGCCTGCCTGGAGAGAGAGAGGTCAGATATCATCAGATAAGGCTGGGAAGGGACTTTATTTTCACTCTCCTGGTGAAGGCAGGGAGTATGCTTTCCAAGACTGGTGGGTGGGCAGGCCAGTTCCCATGGGTGAGGCTGGCCCACCTGCCAGCTACTGCAAAAGCAGGACTCTCCTGTGTGTCCTGGCTGGGCTGGCTCTCCTTTCTGTTTCCGTGTCATCGTCACCAGTCCTCTCGCCCTGGGAGAGCACCCACTCAAAACATTCCATTTCTTCGCCAGGAGAAAGGTTAAATGGATGTTTGCTTGACAAATAGTCATTCACGTCCACAGACACTGTATGTGTCCCTGTTTATCCATGTGTGATTGGGATTGAGAGAGAAACAAAGGCCCCAGGAAAGCCCTGGCCGTCCGTGCCTCACACCAGCTCCCGGCACCAGTGTGCTGGGCCATCTTGTGCCCACACCCGGCCTGGCGCCACCTGTCCATCTGGGGCGCAGGCCTCGTGTTTCCCACGGATCTGCACGGGGCTGGAAAGCGAGGTGACCCGAGGCCCAGAGGGGCCGTGTCATCATCGGACCCATGTCTCGTTTGCTGCAGTGGTGGTGGAGTCGGACTTTGTGAAATACGAGGGCAAGTTTGCGAACCACGTGAGTGGGGCCATCGAGACGGCCCTGGGGAAGCTCAAGCTGAACGTCGGGGGCAAAGGCCTGGTGGAGAGCGAGTCCTCGTTCGGGAGCGTGAAGAAGCAGGAGGTGGACCTGCAGCAGCTGCTCGGACAGGCCGAGGGCAGGTAAGCAGGGCTTCGGATGTTGACGCATCTATCTTGTGTGGAAAGCCGGATCTTTGTTAAAAAGGGTGACAGGTGGAACGTGTCAGGTCAGTGCACGTTTGGGATGCTCGCTGCCTTTGTGGAGGTGGTTCCCTCTGTTTTCCCACTTTGCTGAATGGTTATCATAGGTGGATGCTGGGTTTTGGTAAACGCTTTTTCTGCATCTATCGATATGGTCACATGACTTGTATCCTGCATGAGTTTACGTGGTGCATCCTGTTACTTGTAGATATTGAACAAGCATTGTATCCTGGGAAAATCCCACGTTGATTATAGTGAAGGATCATTTTAATGTATCGCTGAATTCAGTTTGCTACTATGTGTTGAGCATTTTTGCATCTATGTTTATCAGGATATGGCCTCTAAGTGTTTTTTTGTTTGTTTTTATAGGGTTTTTGTTTGGCTGAGGAAAACCTAGATACAGTTTTAGCAGAGCGCCCAGCCGGGGTGGTGCAGTGGTTGAGTGTGGACCTATGAACCAAGAGGCTGAGGTTCAATTCCCAGTCAGGGCGCATGCGCGGATTGTGGGCTCGATCCCCAGTGTGGGGCGTATGGGAGGCAGCTGATCAATGATACTCTCATCATTGATGTTTCTCTCTCTCTCTGAAATTAATATAAATTTATATTTTAAAAATTGTAGCAGAGAATGTAAAGGCAGAGGCATGAGTCCGGGTCCCCAGGGAGGGTGCCCGGGAGGTGGTCAGTGGGCTGTGTCACCCTGAGCAAGCCCAGGTGCGTAGCTCAGGGGGACACAGATGGTGCCCCTTCGTGCTTTGCTGGCTGTGGAGGGGTTGCGGGGGGGGTAGCATATAGGCTTAAGCCACTTGTGCTGTGCCCACCACAGGGTGAGATCCCTCGGGACGGCCCTCAGAGACCCTGTGCATTGTAATTCTCTTTTGAATGAAGAGCAACACGTTTATTGACACCATTCTGTGATGACCCACATTCGTGTTTTGTTCTTAGGCTCATGCATCATCTGTAATAAATTCTGTACTTTTCTGCCTTGTCCTCCATGGTCAGCTGCCACAGGTCACGGCCCTAAGCATAAGTGCCACACCCACCCCGTCTCTGCCTGGGATTCATTGCCTCTAATCAGCTGGGGTCCGGGAATTTTATTCCTGGGAAATCATCTCGGTAGTTTGGTATGTCCCTCCTACCCCTGTCCAGTTCAAGGGGTGCCGGGGTGGGGACGGGTGCCAGCAGGAGGGGGGTCAAGGACAAATTTAAAGGCTAGAAATGGAAGAAGTGTCTCATCACAGAGCCCCCTCGTCCTGTCCGTAGCTAAGAGGTAAAAGTGAGGCACCCCGTGGATTGGGTATGTGTAAGGCTAATGTTCTTGCTACTTTGCTGGAGCCATACATTCTTTTTAAAAATTTTTTGATTTTATTGATTATGGTATCACATAATTGTCCTCATCCCCCCATTCCCATCCCAAACCCCTCCCCATATATGCCCCAACCCCCTGTTGTCCATGCTCACTGGTTAGGCTTATATGCATGCACACAACTCCTTTGGTTGATTTCTCCCCTTTACCCCCACCCTCCCCTACCTTCCCTCTGAGGTTTGAGAGTTCTCACCCCTCACCTGCCCATCTTTGGATGCCCTTAGTATCACTGGATTGATAAGACGCTATCTGATACACATGTGGCCTTGGGCGTGGTAGTTAGTAATGGCTCATGTACTGTACGTACCTGAGGGCTTATTGCATCAGCTGTTTTTATTTCAGGTTGTTTAGATAAGTTGTCATCTGTATACAGGCTATTTAGCCCTCAGGATCCAGAGTGCTCTGTTTATTGTCCATGAGATGTGTGCAAATCTCAAAAGCAAACTTCAGCTAGCCCACACGAAGCGAGAGAGTGTGTGTGTGTGTGTGTGTGTAACCCTTATCTAGCATTGCTGGGCGTGAAGGCATGCCACCAGAGCGAACCCTCCAGATGCACGGAGGGGACCCCTTAGAATGAGAGCTCCACGTGTATCTTAAAACAGCCGTGAAGGAAACCCCGCTAAGATAGACGACGTCCATCTCTTTTTTGAATGAAGAATAACACATTTATAGAGACCATTCTGTGATGACTCACATCCGTGTTGTGTTCTCAGGATCACATCTCATCCTGTACCTTATTTGCCTTAAGGCTGTGACCTTATCCAAGGTCACGGCCTTAAGAATAAATGCCACACTCACCCCATCTCTGCCACAGGTTTACTGCTTCTAATCAGTAAATGATGTCTCCAGAGGGGTTATTTCATCGTTTGCTCCCAAGTGTGAAATCATCTCCTGCAGATGGAAGTTTAGCTTATTCTTGAAATTCCCCAGAGTCTGCTGGGTGACCTTGAGCAGGCCATGCCTCACGGGCCTCAGTTTCCCCATGTGTAAAATCATGTAAACCACCTTGTGAGAGATTGGACACCCTCCCGGGACTGACAGGCACGAGGCCACTCACACGTCTCTCTTTCAGGAGGATGAATCTGAAGAGCCCTCTGCTGCAGCAGGTGCTGGAGCGGCGGAGTGAGGTCCTGTGTGTGCTGACGCAGAGGATCCTGACCACGGAGAAGTGTGTGATCTCTGAGCACGTGCAGGTCGAGGAGAAGTGCGGCGGCACGGTGGGCATCCAGACCAAGACGGTGCAGGTGCGCGCAAGGGGGGCGCAGGGTGGGCACCCAGACCAAGACGGTGCAGGTGCGCGCAAGGGGGGCGGCACGGTGGGCATCCAGACCGAGACGGTGCAGGTGCGCGCAAGGGGGGCGCAGGGTGGGCATCCAGACCGAGACGGTGCAGGTGCGCGCAAGGGGGGCGCAGGGTGGGCATCCAGACCGAGACGGTGCAGGTGCGCGCAAGGGGGGCGGCACGGTGGGCATCCAGACCAAGACGGTGCAGGTGCGCACAAGGGGGGCGCAGGATGGGCATCCAGACCGAGACGGTGCAGGTGCGCGCAAGGGGGGCGCAGGGTGGGCATCCAGACCAAGACGGTGCAGGTGCGCGCAAGGGGGGCGGCACAGTGGGCATCCAGACCGAGACGGTGCAGGTGCGCGCAAGGGGGGCGGCACGGTGGGCATCCAGACCAAGACGGTGCAGGTGCGTGCAAGGGGGGCGCAGGATGGGCATCCAGACCAAGACGGTGCAGGTGCGCGCAAGGGGGGCGGCACGGTGGGCATCCAGACCAAGACGGTGCAGGTGCGCGCAAGGGGGGCGGCACGGTGGGCATCCAGACCAAGACGGTGCAGGTGCGCGCAAGGGGGGCGCAGGGTGGGCATCCAGACCGAGACGGTGCAGGTGCGTGCAAGGGGGGCGCAGGATGGGCATCCAGACCGAGACGGTGCAGGTGTGCGCAAGGGGGGCGGCACGGTGGGCATCCAGACCAAGACGGTGCAGGTGCGCGCAAGGGGGGCGCAGGATGGGCATCCAGACCAAGACGGTGCAGGTGCGTGCAAGGGGGGCACAGGATGGGCATCCAGACCAAGACGGTGCAGGTGCGCGCAAGGGGGGCGCAGGATGGGCATCCAGACCAAGATGGTGCAGGTGCGCGCAAGGGGGGCGCAGGATGGGCATCCAGACCGAGACGGTGCAGGTGCGCGCAAGGGGGGCGCAGGATGGGCATCCAGACCAAGACGGTGCAGGTGCGCGCAAGGGGGGCGCAGGATGGGCATCCAGACCAAGACGGTGCAGGTGCGCGCAAGGGGGGCGCAGGGTGGGCATCCAGACCGAGATGGTGCAGGTGCGCGCAAGGGGGGCGCAGGATGGGCATCCAGACCGAGACGGTGCAGGTGCGCGCAAGGGGGGCGCAGGATGGGCATCCAGACCAAGACAGTGCAGGTGCGGCCGTGCCAGGGTGTGGGCCCTGGGCCAGGCCACAGCGGCCTCACTGGTTCTGCCGTGAGCACATGGGTCAGGGCCTGGGGGTGGTGCCTCCATACGCCAGGGTTGTGTGTGGAGCCGTTAACAGAAACCGAACTGCAGTGGGCTTAAGCGAGGCAGACTTCGTTGGCTCCTGAAACCGAAGCCCTCGGGATGACTGGCTCGTCACTGAGGGTCCGGGACTCGGGAGGGAGGACGTGTGAGCCCCCTCCCTGGGGTGGGTTCCCCCGGCTGGGCGCTCTCCTCGGTCTCTCCCCGCCTGCTCACAGGTCGGAGTGCTCTCGCCCACAGGTGTCAGCCAAGGAGGACGGGTCTGTCGTCAAGGACTCCAGCGTGGTGCTGGAGATCCCGGCGCTCACCACCATCGCCTATGGCGTCATCGAGCTGTACGTGAAGCTGGACGGCCAGTTCGGTGAGCGCTGCCTCCTGCCCGGCTCCTGGCTGGCTGAGCCCAGGCCGCGTTTCCCACCAGGCCCCCTGATGGGATTGTTTAAAAGTCAGCGTGGTCACTTCACTCACCTGCTCTAACACCTCCCGGGGCTCCGTGTCCCAGGAGACAGCCTTCCCTCGCCGATGCCAGTCCGTGATCAGCTGTGACACCACGTGTACAGACGTGCTTCCAGCCTCTGCCGTGTCTGACCTGCGAGTCCTCTGTGCCCGCTCAATCCCATGGAGCCTCCTCAAACACCCCCACCCCGCCCCCACGCGAAGCACAGGGACGGCCGTGGCCCTGTCCTCTCGCTGGCCCCCAGCGCGACGCCCGGAGCTGAAAGCGGAAGGACTGGCAGTGCCTTCAGGGGCAGTGCATGCGCCATGGCTCCTAGAACCAGTTGGGGGACCTGAGGCTGTGGATGGTCCGGTCCTGTCCTTGGGGAGCACAGTCATCCCCTGGGGGTGGCTCACACTCACCCACCTCAGTGCCTGGTGCCCTGAGTGCGGTCCCCTGAGTGAAGGGGGGACTGTTTCATGTCTCAGCCATCCTACCTCTACGAATGCATCAGTGCCCGCAGGCAGAGGGTGGCTCCATGAATAGGAGCCCAGGAAGCACTCAACTCAGGAGTCACGTGCTGTTTTTGCTCACATTTCTGCCTACGATTCAGATACCTTAGGATCTCAGACATGGACGTCTCTGTGAGGGGGGCAGACGGGTTGCCAGGGCCTTGCCACCCTTTTTATTTTAATTTCTTATGGGAAATTTCATACATGTTCAAAAGTGGCAAAAGTAATGTAACGAACCCCATGTACTTCCTGCTTCAGGAATGAGGGTGACTTATGTTCCATTGGCGATTTCCCACCTCTCTCCACCCCCACTTCACTGTCTCAACGCAAGGCCTAGGCCAGTGGTCGGCAAACTCATTAGTCAACTCAAATATCAACAGGACGACGACTGAAATTTCTTTGGAGAGCCAAATTTTTAAAACTTAAACTTCTTCTAACGCTACTTCTTCAAAAGAGACTCGCCCAGGCCGTGGTATTTTGTGGAAGAGCCACACTCCAGGGGCCAAAGAGCCACCTGTGGCTCGTAAGCTGCGGTTTGCTGACCACGGTCCTAGGTACCTACAAAAAGGCTTTAAAAAGACTAGTTTTTCACTCAGCATTTTGAGATTCATTTAACTGTAGAAATAAGTTCATTTTTTTGCATTCGTTTTGGGCACCTAAAGGTACTGTCAGTAATGCTGTATAGGATCAGTTCAGTCAAATATTATACAATCTCCCAGGCTCAGATGCTCCAGCTTCACCCACATCCGGTGGGCTCTGCGGTCTGCTCCGGGCTGGTTGTCGAACCCGGGCTGAGGGAAGGCTGCCACCCAGGACGCACAGGCAAACCCCCGGCCAGGACCCACCGCTGCTCGGCGTTTCTGGGAGGGATGAGTGGGGTCAGGCCCCGCCGCGCCTGCAGGAAGGGGCCCGTGGGGAGGAGGTGGGCCTCCCAGTGCGGACCTGTCCCCTCCTGTGTTGCAGAGTTTTGCCTCTTAGAGGGGACGTGCAGCGGCTTCGAGAACGAGAGGAGAATCGACTCCATCTTCCTGGACCCTCTGCCCTTCCGAGAGTTGTTGTTTGGAGACATGATGGATGCTGGGGAGAGGCTGCCTGGCCCCAACAGACCGCTGTGTATTTTAAAACCAGGTATGGCCAGCAGGGCGGGAGCTTTGGAGAGCAGAGAGGGCGGTGCCTGAGCCAGGCCTGGTCCACTCAGGACTCACCCGGGGAGGATCGCAGGGAACCTGTCTGGGGGCCACGTTTGAGACAGGTCATGTGTAAGAGGCAGGGACTTGGCGTTTGCTTCCATTTTAACATAGAAGCCCGGGGGCTAAGAACGGCTGGTGGGCAGTGAGGAGAGGGCCTGAGGTCTGCACCCGTTTCATCCCAGTCCAGGCGCCTGGTCAGGCCCGGCGTCTCCTGGAGGCTCTCGATCATGTGGCCCGAGGCCGTGGGTGCTGGCGTGGGGTGGGGGTGGGAGAGTGGGAGGACAACCTATGACTTGCCTGCAGCAACCCCTTCTGCCCCCACAGCAGTTTTAAAACGCTGGAGGGGTTTTGTTTTGGGGGCTGGGTGGGGAGGGCACCATGTGGTAGGAGATGAACCAGGAAGAGGAGGAACACATGGTGATGGGAGAGCAGCTCAGCACAGGAGCCAGAGCGCTCAGATGTGCTGGCTGGAGGGGAGGAGGGAGCTCCCCGGAGGGGCCCAGACGGAAGACACTTTAGTTTCTGCAGCAGAAACAGAGCTGGGAGAAACGGCAGTGAAGGCCCAGTCCCGGGCACGGGTGTGCGCCTACACACAGGCCTGCGCACCCGCTGGGCTGCCCTCACCAGGAGCTTTGGTCCATCTTTAACCCTTAGCACGCCGTAAGCGTCTATAGACGCATGTGAATCCAAAGGACCGTGGCGTGTGGGGCTGGTTTCCATTGTGGACGTGTGACAGTGGTGAAGTGGTTAAGAGAGGAGGATTCTAGGAGAGGCTCCGGCGTCCTGCTGAGGGGGAGCCGGCGGCGGGGCCCATGGACCCGTCTCCGGGACAGACGGGGAAGGAGGGCCTGGCGGGGCAGCAGCCGTGACGCCGTGACCAGAGGGGCCAGCCTCTCTGACGTGCATTGGTCGGTAAAGGGTACAAAACGGACCGCGTGTTAGCAGACAGGAGGGAAAGCCGTGGCTCGGAGGCACTGTGGAAGCACTGACTCACGGTTAGTACCAGCGTGATCATTTACGTCTGTAGGAAGGCGCCTAGATGGCTTTTCCAGAGAAAGAACCCATTAGACTCACTACTTAGCGCGTCTGGAACGCAGGGTGGAGGCGAACTGATGTCCTTCACCTCCGCTCCACGGCGCCTGCGGCCGAGGGGTCGGGCAGAGCCGGGGACAGCTGGCCAGGCAGCCGGCCATGAGGAGCCAGCTGCCCGGCTCTGTGCCGGTCCTGAGCCTCTGCTTGCCCCGCAGCCAGGGCGCCGCTGGAGAGGAGCTTCCGGCCCTTCGCGCAGCTGCCGGGGCCGCAGCGGGCCGCGCTGAGGGGCCTCCTGCAGGCGGCGCTGTTGGACGCGGAGCTTCTCCAGGCCCTGGAGCAAGTGGTAAGGCCCGCGCGGCTTCGACCTGAGCCTGAGATAAAAACTGGGTTTAGGATCCCCCCCCCCCCACCTTTGAACATGAAAGCTTTTCCGCTTCTTATCCGGGTCCTTGGTTTGAACTGCAGAAAGGTGGCCGATGCCAGGAATCCAGGCGGGTCCTGGGTCCCTCTGGCTGCTGTAGCAGTGACCACACACTTCTTGGCTTAAAACAATAGACATCGATTCTCTGAAGGCCTGAAGGGTCAGCAGGGCCATGCGCCCTCAAAGGCTGGAGGGGAGACCCTGCCTTCACTCTCACAGCTCCTGGCATTGCTTGGCTTGTGGCTGCATCGCTCCAGGGAACGCCTTCTTCCCCTGGCCTTCTCCTCTGTTCCCTCCTCTTCTGTTTCTTAATGGACATCCTAGGAGGATCGCATGCCAAGGTTCCCCACCTTAATCACCTCTACAAACTCTCTACTCCAAGTAAGGTCACATTCGGAAGTTCCAGAAAGACATATATTTGGGGATGGGGGAGGGGGGTCGCAACTGTTCAACCCACCACCAGGGGGCTGGCCCGTTTTATTGGGCACAGCCTGGAAAGCGGCCATCTGGCCATCGTGTTTCTCTAGGGAGGCCGAGTTCCTTCACTGTTAGTTGTAGAAATGGCGGGGGACCTGCCAACTAGTTGCCAACCCCGTCCTCCCGGGCTTTCTGCTCCGCTTCCCTGCAGGAGCCGGGGGAGCTGGGAGCCTGATTCCCACTGTCTTTGTTTGTGGTCTTTTCTTTTCTTTTGTGCAGAGTCTGAGCTCTGGTTTTCTGATTTAAGGCTCCATGGCACCCAGGAGAGCATCCGTATTCTCTTTGCCCTCTCAACCAGTTCGGGTCAGCAGAGCTTAGCGACTGGCGATGGAACCAGTCGGCAGCCTGGACGCAGAGCTCCGGGGAGGCCGTGCTGCCCCGGCGAGCGCAGATGTTAAAAGCCTCTGCTGACTTTTCCTTTCTGAAATGTCTCTCAGGAGGGAAATGTCAGGCCAGCACCAGCTGCCTGGGCGGCGGGGGCCGCGGGCTCTCACACGGATGCATCTGCAATGGCTGGCAGTGCCAGGTGGCCAGGGCGGCTCTTGCTGGCAGGACTGCCCACCCCCACGCTGATGGCTGAGGCTCCCAGGGCCGTGGTGGGGATGGGGCTGGAGTGCTGAGTTTAAAGCTTGAGAAGCATGACAGCTCTGCGTGCAGTCACCTGTCTAGTCCCACCCGCAGACCCTGCCCTGCACACCCCCTCCCCTCGCATTGGCACCTGGCAGGGCCCGGGGTCCTGTCTCCTGGGAGGAGGTCTCACAGGCTGCTGTCCCTGGCAGACAGCAAAGGCCGAGGCTGCCACATCACCCAGTCCCTCTCCTCCCTGCAGTGTGACGACGTGGCCAGAGGCCTGGCGCCCTCACAGGCCGTCCTGGGGGAGCTGAAGCCCCCGCAGAGGGAGAACCTCGCCGCCTTCCTGCGACTGGTGGGGTGCAGCGTGCAGGACGGACGTCCGGGCCCGGTCAGCGACCAGCAGCTCTTTTCCGCGGCCTACATCCTGGTCAGTGCGCTCGCAGGTACGGCCCCAGGGGTCCCGTTGTGGCTGTGGAATGGCTTTGGTTACTGTGGTGGAGACGGCAGTGACCACACACTTCTTGGCTTAAAACAATAGACATCGATTCTCTGAAGGCCTGAAGGGTCAGCAGGGCCATGTGCCCTCAAAGGCCGGAGGGGAGACCCTGCCTTCACTCTCACAGCTCCTGGCATTGCTTGGCTTGTGGCTGCATCGCTCCAGTGAACACCAGCGGTGGGCGGGGGCGGAGGTCTGAATAGTCACTGTGGAGCCGCAGAGCCGGGGAGGGCTGCCTGCGGGCCCGCCCCTCCCACCCAGGAAAGCGTCTCCCAAATGCCGCCTGGTGGCTGCGTGAGCCGGCCCTCCGGTGGCAGCCGCTCTCGCTCCGGGGTTCCGGTCCCTCTGACCCTTTACAAACCGCCTCCCGAGCTATGGCCATGAGGGCAGGGCAGGGCAGGGCGGCCGTGGAGCGTCCGGAGGCAGCCCCACAGCCTGGGAGCCGCCTCCCACGGTGAGCAGTGGCCCTCCTCCGGGAGGAGACGGGCGGGAAGACCCCACTCCCGGTCCCCACAGCTCCCTGCAGGGTTCCTCCCTGCACCACAGCAACAGAGCCCAGGAGTTTCCAGCTTTCAAAGAATTACAAAAGAGCATGCCTCTCCCAGGCCCATATGCTGACGAGCCGTACATTACACGCTCGTGACTTATTTTTTTGAAACTCAATGTATTGGGGCTGTAATTACAGCTGCTAATGAATGCAGGAGGCCGAGGGAGCTCACACACGGTCTCTGGGCAGACGAGTCAGCAGGTGGTTCGTTTTCTCTCCGTGGCCTCTTCAGCTCAGGCTGTGTCCTGGAGGAGGAGTGGTCCTTCGGGAACGGCATCTGTCTTGCCCGGGGAGGGAGGAGGACCAGTTTTGGCTGCACTGACCTGGGTTTCCTCTCCCCGGAGCTGGTCCGTGTGGTGCCCGCACAGTCCTGGTTCCAGAGGTCCCTGAGCCATCCCTTGGTCAGGCCACACCACGTTTCCTTCCTACAGAGGGTTCCAAACCCAGGTCACTGCAGTTACTCCGCTCTCTGACACACACACACACACACACACACACACCTATGGCTGACCCATTGAGGAAACGTGCTCTGTGAGGTATACGAAGGCACACCCCAAATATACAGTGTACCTCTTCTTCACCAAACTCCAGGTTCTTCCTACTTTTCCTTGCATCCCCCCGAGTCTGTGCAGTTCTCCCTGATGGACACACACCTGTTTTTACTCTACTTTCTGCAAGGCCCTTCCTGCCTGGTCAAACACCACTCATTCACTGGACAGTTATGACAGAACCTCTGCCTGGAGCAGGCAGAGCCCGGGGCCAGCTCTGTTCCTACGGATGCTTTTGTTTTTTAAAGTGACTGACTCCTGTCTTCTTCAGAAATGCCAGACAATGGAGCGGCCCTGCTGGGCACCTGCTGTGAACTCCAGATCATTCCTACGCTGTGCCACTTGGTAAGGAAGGGACCTGGGGGTGGGCAATGACAAGATGAACACCTCACAGCTGATAAACACTTCGTCTTTTTCATCAGCAGCCCTTCTAGATAGGTTACACAGGTCTTATTATGTCCACCTTTTTACACCCTCCGGCGGCACACACCCTCCCTGAGAGAGAGAGGATTTGCTCAGAGCACTTGCCCGTGGACTCCAAGCCTTCCGCAGCGCTGCAGGGCAGGAGCCAGGCCGAGCACTGAGCTCTGCACTCACCTGGCAGGGAGCACGCAGAGGACCGATAGTCTCAGAGAGACGCTTCATTCTCTCTCAGGACTGTCGTTAGCTTTGCGCCCTCAGGAGATGTCACGGCTAGACCAAGAGTTAGGTAATGAGGAGTTTAGCTTAATCTCTGAGATTCAAGATGAAGCTCTTCCTCTCTAACCCACAAACTGGGTCACTGATGGAAGAAATGGGATAGCTCCTGCAGGTGTTGCTCACCTGGGTCAGAGCCACAGACAGAGCCCACCTGCCTGGGTTATTTAAGGCCTGGGGACCAAGGGCCAGCCGCTCTGCAGGCCCAAACCTGAGTGCGGCTCCCCGATCTGGGAAGCGGACATGGGGGCAGACTGCCCAGCCAGGGCCCTGAGATGGGGCACAACCGGGGAGATGTGAGCACGGTGGCTGGTGCCTCTGGCACTGCGCTGCACAGGAGAGGCGTCCGAGGAGTGCGGCCGGGCACCGCGCCAAGGCGGTTCAGTGTCATTCACCACCAGCAGCTCTACCGCCCGAGGGAAGGCTGCATTCCTGCTCTGACCACAAAAATGGACCTACTTGAAAGGGTGACGGTTCCTGGCTGGCTGTGGCGATGAGCACGCGGCAGCTCTGCTTCGGGAGCCCAGCTCCGTTTTCACAGCAGAGTGCTTAGCGAGTCCACATCAGCGAAGCCCCTGTTCCTTCAGGCAGCCCTGGCTCTGCCCTGGGTGCCCTTCCCAGTGTGCTCTGCTGGGGGGGAGCAGCCCCTGGGATTCCCCACCCACAGAGTCCTCCGTCCGCCTTCGTGGACAACACGACAAGCCCTTTAAAGAAAAGACCTTCCTGGGCACCTTCACACAATCGCCCCTAGATACAGCAACGGCTCTTCAGGCGGCGAGTTCCTGCCTCCTGTCTGGAGGAACCTGGGCACTGCCTTAGAAAGGGGGGTAAGCACCTACCTTGTCTGAGGCTTTCTGAAGGCCTTTGGGAGAAACACATGTGCCAAACTGGTAAGAAGGCGAGTTAAAACCATCCACAGAGTTAATTTCTCTCTCACACACACCTCCCCCCGCTGTGACCGCCTTCGCTTTCATACCCAGAAGCGCCTCTGGGCACGGGGTTGGCAGAGGCTCAGAGGAGGAAGCTGGATGCTGCCCAGCACGTCTCCCTCTTCAGCTGTGCCCACGAGCTCGGTCTTAAATGGTGGCCCGTGAGGCTTGTGCTGAAAGAGCAGGTTAATCCCTCTCTGAAGCACAGCTGACAGCTCACCGGCCGGCCCACATAGTCATGCTAAGCCTGTGGTTTCACTGCGGGCTGTATTTGGCGCGTCTACAAGGCGCAGGCTTGTGAGGCTGACTGATCATGGGCACCTGAGCGCCTCTGTGTCCCAGTGAGGGCCGCTCTCACGTCTTTGGTGAGGTGCCATTGCTGAGGACACTTCGGGAATTCTTTACTATTTTAAATTTTACTCTCTACATTCCTAAACTGACCTGGTCCCAAACAGCTGTTTAAAAATCAAACCCACTGGCAAATCTATAATTACTGAAGATGAAGTGTCACAGGTACCGGCGAGACCCCAGAAAGCCACGCTTCAAACGTTTTCGGCGGCTGCAGTCAGAGCAGCGGCCTCTCTGAAGGTCTGGTTCTGGGCAGGTGGCCGGTGGACACAACAGGCCGGGTTTCGGTTAAGGACGAAGCAGTGACTGTCGGGAAGGGAGCTGCAGACAGAGGGGCAGGTGGAGACGGGTCGGTGGTGTGCTGGAGGCTGGGCTGTGGGGAGGGGGTTAAGTCAGGTCCTTCTCATGCTGCATTTCAACCAAAAGCCGAGAGCCGAGACGAGAAGGTAGGTCTGTGTGGAACTCGAGGGAGAGTCTCCAGGTGGAGGGAAGGACAAAGGCTCCGGAGGCAGGAAGCACAGAGTGAGCCAGGGTACCTAACGCTTGGAGGAGTTCGTGCTCATACTCTAAAACCTTCATTTCCAAACCAAACAAGCTTTACATACGTGTGTGCTACTGGCGTGAGATCCAGCAGCAGGCGGAGTGCAGGGGGAGGGATTCAGCGCTCCAGATGCCAGCAGATTGGAGTCACAGGCCCGGGTCACACACATCCTGCTACATCTCCATCAAGGGTTTCCTGCTCCCTTTGGGAAATGTGAACAAACCCGCTTCCATAATGAGCTAGCCCTGCACTGCCGTCCAGCGCCGGGGTCCCTGTGCCGTGTCTCAGTGAGTGACCTGTGCCGTTCCAGCTGGGCGCGCTGTCCGCGGGCGGCCGGGCAGACCTGCAGGACGGAGCGCTGGCCCCCCTGAGGGACGCGGAGCGGCTCGGGACCGTGCGGCGCCTGCTCGCCATGGTCGGCGTGGACCTGGAGCGACAGCAGTCGGCCGCCAGGGCGGTCACCTACGACGTCCCTGACCTTGCCCTCTCCCCGCTCGCTCTGTACGTGAGCCTGAGCGGGCTCCGCGCGCTGGGCCCGGCGCAGCAGTGAGCGGCCGGGGAGCCCCGAGCTCACGTCCCAGCCGGGCTGGGCGCTTCCCTCTCCGTTCAGACGCCACTGTGGGCGTAGGCCAGAGCCAGTTAAAGGTCAAGGGAACGAATCCCCAAAAGAACTTAAGGAGTGAGTTTCTGCACTCACTGTCACCCCGAGGTCAGCCACCGGGCACCCTGTGAGCGGCCTCTTTTTGGAAGAGGCCCTCCCGCCTGCGCTGGGGACCCTGAGGAGCGGGACGAGGGCTGCGAACCCTAAGCCAGCACACAGTCAGACCTTCATTCTACAGAAAAGCGGGCACTCTCCCCCTCTCTTCCTGTTACACAGAAACAGATGGGGCTGACACTTTAGATAAACCTGTGTGATCCGTGAGGAGAGGAGGATGCAGCGATGCACGCTGTGGCGCAACAACATAAAACACAAGCGCCTCGAGCACAAATTAGAAAGGAAAGTGAAAACGGTGCTAAAATGGTGGCACGGTCCATCCATGTCTTTTGTTTTTCTGAAATAAAATATGCAGAACAAACTACACGGGATGTGTAATGGGACTCTACTTGTGTCAGAAACAGATACAAGTACCGCCATGCATGGGACAGAAACATCACTGACGAGTTCACCAGAAACCAATGGGCTCCTCCGGGCGGGAGGGAGAGGCTGGGCAAAAGGCGGGGGGAGGGTTGGCTCGCCCTTCCATTCCTGGTAGAGCTTGTTATGTAGACAATAACAATAAGAAAGCCTAAACCAACGCGCGTGCACACAGACAGACGTCAGACAGAGAAGGTGCCGTCCCAGCGAGTGTAAAAGCTTGGGCTACGTCGGACAGGCGACTAGACTGAGGCGTTTTGTCTCTTAGCTGTTCCACAGCTGCCCAGCACGGGGCAGCTACCTGCTGGAGGGTGTCTTAGGATTAGCTACCGGGAAGGAGGTAGCCTGAGGCTGTCCCAGGTGCTCCTGGCCCCCAGAGGGAGAGCAGAGCCTATTTTAAGCTGCTGACTTTGTGTAATTAGTTACTGTGCTGCTAGAACACTCACAGGGAGTAAAGGACAAGTCCTCACTTAATGGCGTCCACAGGTTCTTGGAAACTGTGACTTTGTGCCAAACACCAGGAAATGTAGTCATTTTAAACCATAAGCTGACCGACATAAACACGAGACAAGTTCCTATGGCCTATTCCTGGTCACAAAAAGCATCACTTCTAAGTAAAGATCGCAAACACTTCAAATATTAAACAGTGAAACAGATGTGAGCTATTCAAACATGTAAGGAAGAGGAATAAAAACGAGAATGATTTTTCCAAACCGACGACGCCAGCTCCTGGTCCCGGGTGGCTGCAGCGTTCACGGCGGAAGCCACCTGCACAGCCCCTTCCGTCGCAGGCCGCTCGCACCCACAGCCTGGGGCGTGTAGACACGCCATTAACCCAGCACGCCCATCACGGGGATGTGGGAGGAAACGCACACCCAGAGAAAACCCACCGCAAACCGCACGGACGGTGGCTCTGGCCGGTGTGCATTTCCCCCTCACCGACGTGAGGATGAAACGACAACGGACGGAACCACGTTAACCCGGGCACTGCTGTCTGTATATCACGCCGATTCTCTGGGAGACATCAGAAATACACGGAACTGGCAGTTTCTCAAGGATGAGGTACAGGATCCCAGAACCCAGCTGCAGGGGAGAGAGGAGCCAAGTACCTTTTCATGGTGCTTCCCCCGGGCACCATGGTCACCCTCCATCGCTGGGCCAGCGGGTGGGTCCACCTCACAGCAGGGCTGGGCCGAGCTGCCTCCACAGCCACCTCTCCCCCCGGGTGTCTCTGGCGGCGGGCCTGGCAGCACCCGTGCCCTCTGAGCAGAGGCCTCTTCTTGATCCTGCACTTTGACCTTCTCTGTGTTGGGCTTCTTTCCTCGAGTATGCCGTGTTTGAAACTTGGGCTGGCAAAGAAGAAACAACGGTTAGGGATTCCTTGCTAGAGAGGAGAGGCAGGTGAAAATGTATGAAACTATATCCCATTAGAGGCTTTTTATAAAAACTATTAGCATTTAAAATAAGTTTCCAAAGCTAACCTCATAGAATCCGTGTTTTACTGTCTGTGAGCTTCAGTTCTACTTGTAAATGAAACACTACGTTTTTCCAATATTAAATATTTATTTCTTTTTACATACAAAAATATTTTACCAGGCATATGGCATTTCACAGATTGAACATTTCAATAAGTTTTGTTTGGGGCGGTATCTGGAAACATGTGAAAAGAAAAATTGTATAGGGACCGCTTCTGCAAAATCAATAGTCATATTACAGAAAAATTTTATTTTTACAAGGACAGTAATATTTCTTTTACACGGGACTTGGCAATGCAATTACTTGGAAAGCAGTAGCAATTATTTTTATTTTTAAACTTTTTCATTAGAAACTTACTTTAGCAGCTTGTTTAGCTTGGATGTTTAGGTTGCCAACAAGGTTTTGTCCTCCATTAAAAAAAAAAAAAAAATCCTACAATCACTTCACAGACTAGAGGTTAAAAAGGAGCATGCATCTGTGTCCAAAATAAAGGCATACCCAAATGGAACGGGGGATCCCCCAAAGCAGGTTGCCACAACACACACTCGTCACGGGCCCTCCCGGGCAGGCAGGAAATGACGCTGGTGCCACCCCTGCTGTTCACTCATCTGCAGCAAAACCCCAGGTGCCACTTCCTTACCCACCGGTGCCATTGCAGAGACGGGGCCGGTTCTCTTTTGCGTTTCAAGGACAGATGGAGGCGAGCTCTCCCTTGAGTCTGGTTCTGTCTGGAAACACGAAGGCATTTCCCATTTGGACTGTGTTTCCAGAACCAGCTCTGTGCTCCGAGCAGTGTGACTCACACCGCTGCCCACTCTCCTGTGTAAGGAAAACCACATCCTCGTACTGAGAGGTCTGCGATGCTATGCGTCTTCCCTCTTCTCCACGCTCCCAGGGCCCCTGGCTGATGTGAGGAAAAGCAAGTTTCAGGCACGGCCTGTAAGGTGTCTGTCTCTCCCTGGTTTGCTATTTCTGACCTCAATGTCCGACCTTTAAAAGCAGACCTCTGGGCCTCTGCCTGTGGTGGCCTGTTCAGGGGGACCCCAAACAGGCTTACAAGCATCTAGTCTTTCCTCTCCCAAGTTACAAGCACCATTTACGTTCACTGTAGATGTGTCATTTCGTTTGTGCTGAAGATTATAGTAAAAAAAAAAAAAAAAAAGAAAGAAAAAAAAGTGAGAGAGCAAGAGAATCTTCGCTTCTGACAGACGGCCTTTGTGTGTGGGATCAGTTACCATCCTAACACTGCCCCGCCAGCCAGCCAGTGGCCGTGAGGTCTCAGAGAGGTCCCTGAAATGCATTCGGTCACCCATGACCTGAGAAACAGACCCCCTTCAGACTCAGTACCATCAGTTAGACAGCATGGGCTGTGGCGTTAAGCACAGGGTAGAGCCACTTTATGGGGCAGAGATCAGTGTGGCTTGTGACGTGAGAGCACTGGGCTGCTTGCTTAATTGATCTGTGAGCGGTCTGGGCGGCAGTGAGGACTTGCTAAGCGTTTCAACCTGGAAAGGGATTCTAAACTAACACGGACCTCCTGCCCAGGGCCACTGAGAGTGGGACAGACCCTCCTCCGGCTCAGAGCGGTTTTAAAGCTGGAGGCGAGTCCAGGACGGTGTGCACAGGTCTGTTAGCTCCAGAAGAGGCCACTTGAACAGGAGGAAAAGGTCAGGAACCTCAATGCTAGGGCATACATGTAACAAACAGACCAGGTAGACTTCATGGTTTAGCAGTTACCACATCAGAGCTACAGATTACGTTCTGTAATGTAAGCTGAAGACAAATACTTCAATAGTAAGTTAGCCTTATTTAACGATGGAGTATTAAAAGTAAAGGGACACAAAAATGTTACTAAAGGCCAGGAGTCAGAATTGGGATCTGTCATTTTTATCTAAAGAAGGTAGTGCCGTATACTGCAGAAGTGAAAATTATGCTTTTAAATTCTTACCTTAGAACGTGATATCATCACTTCCTTCATTTTTTTTTTTTTGGCGATTAAAAACTAACTTTTTATTCTGTGCACTAAACCATTCCAGGAGCACAGAAAGTAACATGATAGATTATGGGAAATATTTTAAAAACGAATAAAACTTGAAGCTAACAAAAATTATTTAAAAAATAATCTTACCTTAAAAAATTACATAACTTATCTTCCTCAGCTATACAATGTCTATTTACATAAAAATGAATATGATGCTGAATTATTAGTCAATGGAGTTCATTCTTAAATTTGTGAATAATTTTCATTTGTACTATACACAATAATCTTATCATTAAAATAGTGAATCTGTCCTAAGAACTCAAAATACATTATAAATGTTATTACATGAATTCTCACAGCACATCCTTTGGAAAAAGAGGGGGGCAGGTACCATAATCGCTAAGCCTGTGCCAGGTAACAGATTCATTAGAAGGTCTAAATAAGAGTTTCCCAAGAGGTTTCCGTCTAGCACTCTTTTTCCTTACAGAAATTAAGTTCAATGCTAACTTTATGGGCTTAATACTTCATTTATTTTTCAAAAAGGAGATTAGTACCTGACTTAAGGTAAACCCTTTCAAACAAAGTGAAAAAAGTTCCTGAATGCATGAGAATTTGGAAGTAATCAAAAATTTAAGAATATTGGTTATAATTACATGGGTGAATATATTTAGTTTTATTATTCATGTATTTTGGAAGAATTTTACATAATTTACACATACTGTGTGTGTGTGTGTGTGTATATATATATATATACACACATACACATACACACACACACACACACACACATATATATATATAGTGACTCAAACGTTTAAAAAATGACCTGCTATTTATATACACAAAATTTCAGGATTGCCTTTTTCGTATTTAGAATAAAGGTTCATTATTAAAAAATTATTGGCTCTCTAGCCTGTGATTTCTGGAAAAATTGAATATTTTTTCAGAATTTGTAAAAGTGCAATGTTAAATAGGTCATTATTTTGATCAATTTTCAAACTTTTATGCTAAACGTTTACCAATTCAAAATAATTGTACCTAACTCCATGGCTATCCATCTTGAAAATCAACCCCAATCATGATTATGACACTTACTACACATAAAAATAAAAAAGTTCACCGTTATTGTTATTAGGATATTATGGCCAAAACAACTAGTATCTGGCCATAATCTATAATGCCACATTATTGTATTTTATTGCTAGTTTGTATTTTCTAAATTTGTATTAATTATCAATTTGCTCTTTTAAGGAAAACGTGTCCTTATCAGCAATTATAAGTAAATTTTGCTAAATTATAGAATTTAGATTCAAGCTACTTTTGCTGTAGTCATATTGGATTTATGAAGACGATTTTAGTAAGCTATGCTCAGCAATTGTATAGTTAGAATTGGCAAGAGTAAATCAAGCCCTGATGTACTGGATACTTGATATTACCCAAGCACCAAAAGGAAATCGACAATGCACAATCAAGGCATGGCTGTAATCAAGGTAAAATCCCACTTACAGAACATCACATATATCCCAGTAGTTAGGGTTAAACTTTACTTAACCAGAGACATCAACTCTGGATACTTTTACATTTGAAAGTGAAAGACATATGTATAGCTACTTGTATATAATAGTCATGCCCTGCCGAAACCAGTTTGGCTCAGTGGTAGAGCGTCGGTCTGCGGACTGAAAGGTCCCAGATTCGATTCCAGTCCAGGGCATGTACATTGGTTGCGGGAATATCCCCGGTAGAGGGTGTGCATGAGGCAGCTGATCAATGTTTCTCTCTCATCGACGTTTCTAGCTCTTTCTCTTCTCTGTAAAATATCAATAAAATAAATATATTAAAAAAAGTCATGCCCTGAATGTGGATACTCGCCTGCCCACAAGGAATCCTCAGGCCATTAATGTCCAAACAGGCACAGCATGTTTCCCAAAAGCATACACATGTGTGTGTGTGCGCACTGTAACTATTGGCAATTGTTCAACATCAGCAAAGCTAATCACTTAGCCCCCCTCGCTGCTGCGGGAGAATGCTGGGGCGGCCGGGACTGCTTGCCCCGAGATCGCCGTGGTTCCTGCAGACTCAGGTTCAGTGGCTTTTCTGATACATGAACTTTTCTACATGTATTCTCTTCAACTCTGGCTTCTAGATCGAAATGAACTACATTGTGTTGCTTACTTCATATTAGTAGGGAACTAGTGTATATTATCTAAATACTTTCTGATGAGTACTGTTGACAATAGAAATAATTTCTTTACATATAGACTACTTTCTAAATAATATGCACTTTATCCCATATGATAAAGCTAAAAATACATACGATGTAAAAATCATCTCTATTTTGCCAAGATGGTTGAAATAATTGTGGATAAGCTGTCTGTGCTGCTACAAGGACCCAAAGCTGTTCACAGACGAAGGCACATGGAGAACGTGGAAAGGAAATTCCTCTCGGAATTTACAGCGTGTGGGAACAGAGCCACAGGACCTCACCTCACCACTGGGCTGGGACTCATGTGCTTGGAGAAGCCAGTAATGTGACATAAATATAGGCGGCTTAAAAGTCATCCAAGTTATTAAGTGAATGCGGTACCTTTGCCACCCATTTCCTATCCTAGGACAAAGAACATGGAGTTGTGTTCTGGATATGAAATCCTGGAATTTAAAAATATCTATGGATTTCCACTCTTAAAATACAGCAACTTGCGAGTTCTGTTTTATTGTGAAAAGGTTTACAACAGTGTGTGTACCACTCACTGCCTGCATTACCCCTCCAGCCCCGAAGCAGGCACTCGACGGGACAGCCCTGGTGACGGAAAGCCTGCAGCAGCCAGGTGCCCGGTGCCTGCCACCAGACAACGCACCCCCCCCCCCACCACCACCACCACCACCACCGCCGCCACCACCGGTTCAGTCCCTAATCCTTCAGGTGTGAGGACTTCTGGGTGAAAAGCTCACAGCAATACAGAATACTGGTGACTTAGTTTGATGATGAGCAGCGTCTCTGAATACTTTTCAGGAAGAATTCATACCATCCAAGAATCCTAACAGAAGGTATTAGTAACTGAGGTTGATTTGGAAATTTGTATATATTAGTGCATCTCGAAAACTGGTCTCCCTTCCCCCAATCATTAAATAAAAATGCATTTCCTTACAGAAATGTAAAACATTTTTTATATTATATTATATATACAATGTATTATATTATATACAATGTATATATTATATAATGTATATGTTATACATAGGTAAAACAGCTGACCATTATTTCCATATTTTAAAACTCATTCAGTGGTCTGGGTCCTCTACACAGCAAAGCGAACAAATGACCTTCGTGATCACATCCTCCTCAGAAAGCACATGGCTGTTCAAAGCCCCACCACACCGCCACCTCAGAGCATCTTCACGCGTCACAGAAACATGCAGAGGCATGATACAGCTGCTGACCATATCCTAATAAAAACCTGTATAAGAAGTTTGTTTTGTCCATTACAGTTTTACCTGTGAGAAAAAAATAAATGGCAAGTGTCATTCTGCTGTTTCACAGGAGGCACTCTCTGAGCCCACCCAGCCTGCTTGCTGTGTACACGGTAACTTAACATCAGCCAGTCTTTGCGACAAACGTGAGTGCTAGGTATTGCTCTTTGCTTTTTCACTAAAGATAGAAATGAAGGGGGAAAAACCCAATATATCTGCATAAATCAGAACCGACAGCCACAGATCTCTGAAATGACAAAGCTATGTAGCATGGAGCAAATTCTGATATCAGATTTGGATGGCGGTAGACTTGCTATGGCACTGACATTCAGGGTCAGCTTCTTTAAGAAATTATATTAGGAAAGAAGGCCAATAACGATTATTTTCTAAAGTGACTTCCCCCTCACTTGTTAAATACTGAGCTAAATGGCAACTTTACAAAACTATTTCAAGTATTCATTATCACAGTGAAAATGTGAGACCAAAGTTCGAATGAATGAGTTGGAACTTCTTGTGATGGAAAAGGCAAGGGCACTAAATCAGAACATATACAAAATGCTTCAACGCATTTCTTTATGTGATATGAATAGATTGTCCATAAAAAGTTAGAAAAATTAAGATAAGTTATATATCAGTACACCTTCCCAACCGCTGTGTCTATAAAAATTGGGAAGAGTGTACAGGCATGTCAGTCTGCGGCAGAACGCCCGGCCGGAGCAGGCCTCTCCTCGGTGCACGCGCTTCTCGGCAGCGGGTTATTTGCTGTAGTCGCTTTCTAAGAGCTGTGTTTTAATTGTGAACCTTATTGACTCATCAGTACACCCAGCTGATGGGGACCCACTGTGGCTCCATCCTCAGGTTCTCTATGGCAGTCTGTAGTTTCTCGAAGGCTTTGTCTAGATTGTCGTTGACGATGATCAAATCAAAGTAGTGGTTGTATGCTCTCTGAATTCGCGCACTTTCATCCACTGTTTTCTTCAAGTCAGAGTCCTGTTGAAGAGTTTTAAAAGGAAATGTTTTTATTATAATGTATATTTACTTGTTTAAATAGCAGCTCAGAATGAAGGTAAGAAATTAGTAGCTTGGATAATTTTTCATTGTGATTCTGATATTAATTCTCAAAATCTAATCCATAGAGGGTTAAAAAGACATTGCTACCTGTTCCTGTTCCCATCTTCCCAAACGCGTTCATGTTTGTGCCTGTGAGTACCCTGTATCTTCTGTTTCATTGACATTAGGATAAGATTCCTAATTTAAAAAACTGCTGGCAATCATTTTAGGATGAAATCTAATGGACTCTAGATTATGGAACCCTATTTCTAGTGACTGTTAAGCTCAAAGCTAAATTTTCTGCCTAATTCCAAGAAAGAGAATCTTACAAGTGTATTTTGAAGACTAACTTCACATTATTATTTTTTTGCTAGTATTATTTATATATCCTAGAATATTTCTAGTCGTTTTAAAATAATGTGGGGGAATAAATAATGGGTTCTGCACGACTAAGAAAAGCTTTTACAAGTGTTTTGAAATTTCACAATTCTACATGCTCTTCAAATACTTATTGAGTTTCTATTAAAGTGACTACTGTGTTTCATTATTTATGGATAGAACAATGAATAAATAGGACAGAGGGGGTTCCTACCCTAGAGTGAAGGAGACAGATGAAAGGCAAATAAAGACAAGAACTTGTGAGTTGTAGTAAGTTCTATAAAAGAAAATAATCAGGAACAACACATTTTCAGGGATCTACTTACAAAGACACCGAGTACATCACTTTTAAACTGAGAACCACAAATGGGAGAAAGAGCATTCTTTCAGAGAAAGAATTTATTGCAGAGAAAACAGCAATGCCAAATCCAAGCGGGAAATGACTGGATGTGTAAGACACCAGGAGGCCCAGACAGTCAAGGGGTGAGGGGAGCAGTAAGGTGAGATGAACACGGAATAGGTCATGAAGGACCCAGACGCAGTGGAGACATCCCTGGATTGTGATGGTGGCAAAGGTATGGGAATGATCCACTCTATTTACCTCGGCTGGTGAGACAAAATCATTAGGATTAGCTGACGGGTAGATGTGAAAAGTGAGGAAAATGACTGAATGGAGATGCTCTTGGGTCTCTAGCATGAGCTAAGCAGGTGTGTTTAGAAGACACAGAGTTGGGGAGTAGGGCTGGAGAGAACATGGTTTTTTGGGGGTTGGGGGATGGGGGAGGGAAAGCAAATGTTCTACTTTGTACATGGTGAGTTTAAGATGCCTGTGAGACAGCCAAGTATGCGAGTCAGAGCTCCGAGGCGAGTTACCTATATATAAATCGGGAACCACCAGCGTGACAGTAGGAAAAGGACGAATCGTAGGAGGAAGGAGCACTGTTAACCTACGGAGAAGTGCTCACCGTCAGAAGCTTGGTGGCAATGCCAGCATCCACCACGGCTTTGTGCATGGCGCGCAGCGTCTCCAGCTCCGGGGCGGCAATGAAGACCACGTAGGGCATGAACTCCGACGTCCTCAGCACCTTCAGGGCCTATGCGGGACAAGAGCCACACACCACTTACACAGGATGGGAATCTGTATCATTTCCCTTTTCTTTTCACTGAGTAACCGAAGTCTACCTGCCTCTTCCGAAGGATTAAGAACATAATTTAACATTTGCCCCACTTCCACCCTTTGACTCCACACAGTACTTCCCGAAAACAGTGATCCATTAATTGTGTTCTGACCTCTCTACCCTTTGAGCTTCCCGAACAAAGGAAAGCGTTACATTAATGAAGTACCCAAAAGCCAGCAAGACTGCTGTAAACGTTTTTATGTTAATGGTGGGATTCTGCTAATACTGAAAAAGCTAGAAATAATTTAAGTGTCTACTAGCTGGAGAGTGGTTACATAAGTTAAGATATGTCTATATTAAAAAATACTATGCAGCAGTTACAAAGATTAAAAAAAGCTCTACAGTAATCAACATGAAAAGGTCTTCAAGAAACATTATTTAATAAAAAGAACTGAAGAATTTGTATAGAATTTTTCATTTATATAAAAGTCTCAACAAAAATAGAAATTATATATATACATGTATATAGATGTGTGTACATATATAATATATAGTGTCCCCAAAAGTGTATACACGCTTTAACAACTGATAGCTATTAAAATGAAATTATTTTAATGAACACTGATTTTATAATTATTCAAAGTATACATTTTTTGGGACACCTTGTATATATAATACACACACGTCATTTTTTACTTAAGGCATACTAAAAAGACAGGAAGATACACACCGAACTCAATAATATTTACCTCTGAGTAGGGAAGTGAGATTAGGATGAAAGCAGAAGAGTGGGAAGGGGTCGGTGAGAGACACGGAATGGAATGAGAATGAAATGAATGTGTGTGTGTGTGTGTGTGTGTGTGTGTGTGTGTGTGTGTATTTTAAGTGGGAAGGAGCATGACTGCAAATTTTTTCCTTTTTATCTTTATTTTCCCCCTTTTTATCTTTAATTTAAAACATTCAACTACAGTTTAAATTCAGTATTATTTTACGTTAGTTTCAGGCGAACAGCACAGTGGTTAGACAATCATATACTGTATAAAGTGTCCCCCTGATATTTCCAGCACCAAACTGGCACCATGCATAGTTATTACAATATTACTACATTTCCTAGGCTGTCCTTTAGATCCCCATGACTATTCTGCAGCCTGGTTGAAAGGTTAAATTTCGCATGTTCTAATGCATGCATTCATGTATTACTTGAACAAGTACTAAACAAATACTGACCTTCTGCCATGTGTCTAGTGCTTGGCAACTTGGTCAGAGATTTATTTAACTAGTGGATGCATAACAAGGTTCTCCATCACCAGCAGGTAATGGAGCGAAAGAGCTACCTTCACAATCTCAAATCAAAATGAACAAAAACTCCACGGGAAATAAAATTTACAATCAGCTTTGGAATCCACGCAGCTTACTTGTGGGTTGACATCCAAAATGCAAGTTCGTCCAGTTTGGACAACTTCAAGAATAGAGTCAATCTTGGTTCCATAGAGATTTCCTTCATATTCCCCATGTTCCAAATATTTTCCAGCTTTAATATCTGCTTCCATCTCAGACCGTGACACGAACTTATATGCCTGGCCATCTTTTTCATCTTCCCTTGGTTTCCTTGAGGTAACTAAATAAAATTATGTCGAGAATTTACACAAAGAGAATGCAGGATTTTAGAAAACTAAAATGAACAAGGTAGCTTAAGATACTTCCATTTAGTGCCTACAGCCAAATCTGGCCTGCTTCCTATTTTTGCAGATAAAGTTTTATTGGACTATAGCCACTCTCATCCTTCTTACCTATGTTTCACTTGTTTTATACTGGTGGAGGAGTTGCAGGACTGACTAGATGACCTGCAAAACCTAAAACCATGTGGCCCTTGAGCAAAATAGTTTGCTGATCCCTGATTTATAGGAATGCTTTAAAAGGTAGTTCCCAATATACAATTTGTATTTATGGTAAAAAAAATGTGCTTGATAAGGTCAGTTTGAAACTCAAAATACAGTTACCTGGAAACAGAGTCCTGCATTTAAATTCTTAATTATGGTGAATCCTTGTAAGTGTGAGGTATGTTGCAAGTGAATACCTTTTCCAGCTGACCTGCACTTACTCCCTACTTTCCTCAGGAATATCAATATGTCCTCTCCTGTCACTTAACATTTCCTAACTGAGTGCCAAGCCACTGAGCAGATCTCCTATTCTTAGTTGGTATTATCGATTTTCTAAAGTGTACTTTTACCCACTAATTATCCTTTATTTTGCCTCTATACCTTTATTTCAGCTTCCTGCCTACTTATTCTCCTAATTATTATATTTTGATCTTTAGTGGTGGAACTAGCCACACCTCAAAGTTATTAAGGTCTAGTAACGTTCTCTATTTTGATCTGATATGTGTATTCTTGCTCAGAGAATGAGAACAAAGAAACCAAGTGGGAATTTAGAGGATCCTTTGGTCTGACACTGTAGAGCTCTAAGTACTTTCAGAGACATACAACTCCCCTCAACGTGGGCCCCGCTGGGATGGACTGTTATCACCTCTCACACTGCTGCAGAGGCAGAGTTAGGTGGTGCCCTCTGCCAGCCTGTGAAGACTAGCTTGGAAGGAGGAAGGGGGGGGGGGGCACACACAAAAGAGAGATTCTTTCAAATTTAGCCTTAATCTGAGCTTGGCTGGATCAGATGTAAAAAAGTTTTCAACTTCTAATCAAATACACATGCAGAATATCTGAAGAAACCATTAAACACATACACTTAAAATTAGAAAGTAATCCAAATCAAAAGTTGATGGTATTTAAACCATTTGTAATAAACATGACACATCAATAAAACTTTTATAAGAACAAAATGAACTTCAAACTCAATAAATCAACAAATATATATATATATATATATAGATATATATATATATAGATTAGATATAGATATAGATATAGATATAGATATATATTTTTTTTTAATGGGGACCTTCACACATTGCTGAGAGTGTAAAAGAATATGGCCACTGTGGAAAACAATGTGGCAGTCTCAAAATGTAGTCACAGAGTCACTATGGGACCTTCCAATTCCATTTCTGAGAAAAAGAAAACATACACGTCCACAGAAATACCTGTATACAAATGTTAACAGCAGCATTATTCATTACAGCTAAGAAACAGAGCAATCCAAATGTCTATCAAGTGATGAACAGATAAACAGAATGTGGCGGAGCCATAAAATGGAATAGCACTCAGCAATAAAAAGCAGCTCAATGCTGACTCCAGCTGAAACATAGATGAACCTTGAGAACTTTGGTAAATAAAGAAGCCATCATAAAACATCACACACTGCATAATTACATTTCTGTGAAATGTCCAGCGAGGCAAATTTTATCGTGGCAGAAAGCCCACTAATCAGCACCATGAGTTACAAAATATGCACAGAAAGGCACATCATATTAAATTCAAAATACTGAAAAACAACAAAATGTAACACAAAAGACCCTGAATATATATATATATATATATATATATATATATATATATGTGTGTGTGTGTGTGTGTGTGTGTGTGTGTATATATATATATATATATATATATATATATATATAAATAAATTGATTTCAGAGAGGAAAGGAGAGGGAGAGGGAGTGACAGAAATATCAATGATGACAGAGAATCACTGATCAGCTGCCTCCTGTATGCCCCCTACTGGGGATCGAGCCCACAACCGGGAATGTGCCCTTGACTGGAATTGAACCAAGGACCCTTCAGTCCTCAAGCTGATGCTCTATCCACAGAGCCAAAACAGCTAGGGCCCAAATAAGAATTTGAATGATAGTGAATTTTCTTTTTTTGTTGTTGTTAATCCTCACCTGAAGAGAGAGAGAGAGAGAGAGAGATATATATATATATATATATATATATATATATATATATATATATATATATTTTTTTTTTTTTAGGGAGAGTAGAAGAGTGGAAAAGACAGAGAGAAACACTGATGTGAGAGGAACACATCAATTGGTTGCCTCCTACACATGTCCCAACCAGGGCCTGGACCGGGGAGGAGCCTGCAACCAAGGTATGTGCCCTTGACTGGAATCAAATCAGGGACCTTTCGGTCTGCAGGCTGATGTTCTACCCACTGAACAAAACCGGCTAGGTCTGACAATAAACTTCTTAACAGAACTGGATTCAAGAACTACATCTTTTGAGTTTTACCATCTAGAATTTCTACTCTCTGCTAAGTAATCAATCAAATATAGGGCAGATAATATACATTTTCAAATACAGATATACACAAATGACATCCCATATACCATTTCTTGTGAAGTTACGAGAGGATGTGCCCAGCAAAACAAGGCAATAAACCAAGAAAGAAGAATGGGGCCCAGGAACAACAGCTTCTAGCCAAAACAGCAGCAAAAGGAATGACATCACCATGGCAACAACGGGGCAACCAAGACACAGCCCATGGTGCTCACAAGAGTAAAAGGACTGAGGTGTGAGACAGAGGTCTCCAAGCCAAAGTCATGACTTCATAGGTAAGTGAGCCTTTGCTTTAAAACAAACTATACACATTAACCGAGGTAAAGAGAAGAAAACAGACGCCTAGTGATTGCTTGGTGGGGGAAGAGGGAGGAGAAAATAAAGCGGGGTTAACGGCAACTAGAGTCACCTCTAAACTGGGGGACAGTCAGGAAGTCAACAGATGAGGCCCCCATGGGACAAGGCAAGAACTAGCAGAATGAAGACAATGAAGAAATAGCAAAAGGAAGAAAAGCAACTGTTTCTAGTAAGTAGGCCCCAGGTGGGGGTAGAGGAAAATAGGGGGTTATATTTTCCATTAGTTAAGTACTACTTGATTAAAATACTGGACATGTATTAACTTGCTAAAAATAAAATACTTTACAATTCTTTGACCACTGTGAGGCTTTAATAACTTCTGAACCAGGATTTGTCTGAGCTGTGTCATTCGTGTGCTCACAATGGAAAGCCTTCCCCTGAAGGGATTACAGATAGCACGTCAGGGCAACGGTAAGGTTATTCCTCCAACCGGCCCCTGAGAACTGCAGCACTAAGATCGCTCACTGAGAATTAGTCCTCAGAACAAACTGGGGACTCATCGTAAAGAGATGGAGTGGCGTCAGGCTATGGTCTGACAATACTACTGAACTTTCCATGTAAATATGCAAATAAGGAAAGAATGCAAAAATCATGAGTACTTGGTTCACTTAATAGTTATACTTCTCATCAGCATCGTCTTATTTTCTCTATCAACCTCTGTGACCTTAAGTAATGCTACTTGCCCTGGAAGATGAATCCCCCCTTTTTATTTCTTTGCTAGAGCTCTGGTGCATGAAATTCGAGGGGGGAGGTGGTCCCCGAGCCCAGCCTGCACCCTCTCCAATCCGGGACCTTTTGGGGGATGTCTGACTGCCAGTTTAGGCCCGGACATCCCTCTCACAATCCTGGACTGCTGGCTCCTAATTGTTCACCTGCCTGGTCTCCCCCAACTGACCCTCCCAAACCCCGCTGGCCTGGTTGCCCCAACTGCTCCTTCCCCTGCTGGCCTAGTCACTCCCTTACTACCCCCTCTGCCACCTAATCACCCCCAACTGCTCCTTGCCCTATGGCCTGGTTGCCTCTAACTGTCCCCTCTACTGATCTGGTCACCCCTAACTACCCCACCCCCTAACAGCCTGGTCACCCCCATTGTCCTCTCCTGCTGGCCTGGTCGCCCCACAGCCTGCTTGTTCAGTCATTTGGTCGTCCCTCACTAACCCCCCTGCCAGCTTGGTCATAGGCAGCCATCTTGTGAGAGTGTGACAGTCAATTTGCATATTATTCTTTATTATATAGGACTGATTAAGGTATTAGATATGTGTCCTTATCTTCCACTGTCCCTCCTCCCCCTCCAATCATGCCCTCACCCCCCTGATGTCTGTGTCCATTGGTTAGGCTTATATGCATACATACAAGTCCTTTGGTTGATCTCTTCCCCTTAGCCCCAGCTTCCCCTACCTTCCCTCTGAAATTTGACAATCTGATCAATGCTTCTCTGTCTCTGGATCTGTTTTGCCAGTCAAAGGAAGATAAATATCACATAATCTCACTCATTTATGGAACATAATGAACAACATAAACTGATGAACAAAAACAAAAACAGACGAATCCCTCTTGTTGTGCTATCCCAAACCAGGATATGACCTTGCAGGCTCACACAAATTAACAAAGGGATTGCCAGGGAGGTGACTGAGGACCCAGCAGGTTTCTCCCTTTTCTTTACACCAAAATGGGTGAAAAATACAACTTTCCACATAGACGTCGGAAGTAAAAGAAACAACGAAGTTAGTGCTGCTTTGGCCACAACTCTCACTACTTGTGTTGAGCATTTCTGATCTACAGAGTTTGGAGCAGTGACTGTCACCGGGCGGCAGGCTGACGGGAAGCAGCTGCCCATATCTTCTCCTCGCTTGTTTTCACTGACATAATAAAAACCTATTTGAGACTAAAGGTCACCATTATGTGCCCTCACTACATTTTCTTGCCAACTAAACAGAGAAGAAAACACACAACTTACATGGCACCGTGGTTCCAAATCTAGTGGGGTTCAATACTATGAACCTGTTTTTCAAGCTTCTTCGCCCCACACCTTGAGCTCCTATTAACACTAACGTCCTTCTCTGGAAGGGAGGCATTCTGGCCACCTCCTCGTAGATCTGGATTTCATGACGGTCAAATTCTGCAGGTAAACGACGTGGAAAACACCGCATTCAATTGTCTTTCATGTGGATGAGAAACTTCTGCTGTTCTGTCCAGTAATGACTTATTAGGCAAGATAGTGAAATATCACTTAAATTGTACTCGGCACAGATTTGTTTCTATTAATTTAATAAAGTATAAGAAACTATTTTACATTTTGATTTAAACATCTGCTGCCATCCATTTGTTTCTTAAAAATTTGTCCAGCCAAGCTAGAAAAATGCCCGTGCTTTATCCTTATTAGATATTCTACCCATAAAACCTTCTTACCAATTCGTGAGTAGAAATAATACCTTTAATATCAATAATCTTGTGACAAATAGTTTTATGTAATTTATTCAGCTAAAAGTTGTGTATCAGATATGGAGGACAGCAGTATACCTAGCGTGGTGGCTTCAATACGTCCTTATAGAACGAGTGTGCCCTTCCAGTGATATAAATGAATAAGTACTATCTTGGTGACTGCAAATAAGTTCGATTAATAAATGCATATAGACAACATACTGACATTTAAATATTAAGATTCTGAAAATATGTATAAAATAAAATATAGGATCCAAATTATTTTCAGTGGAAACACATTCCAAAATTATATTCATAGTCAATGGTAAAAATTACAAATTTCCCATTTTATAAGAAAGGCTTAAGAACACATATTTCATGAATAGGAAGGCTAAACTGAGAATGAAATATTCCACTGCCATCATTATGGCTATCACTCTCCATCTATAGTAATACTTCTTAGGTTATGTTAACAGCAACTATTTGCATAGTTTCCCCACAGCAGCTTAACCAACGTGGAGGGAGAGCCTATTTTCTCAGTATTATATTCTAACTTACTATTCTGTTATTTCCCTCAGAGTATGCTGTTTACTTCATTGCCAGTGGAGAGGTGGCTCTGAAGTCCAGAGAGTGTTTTAAACTGACAGTCCTCCGAGCGCGCCTCCAGAGCTGCACGCACTCCTGTCAGCCTTTGGACTGACAGGAGTGACTCCGGTAGCTGTCACGTTTATCTTTCCTTCCGTCTGAGAGAGTGAAGAAAGAGTCCTTCTGGATCCAACTAAGATTCATCTGGTCAGTAATATTTTCCCAAAAGAGCCATGGACAATGTTATGCCTGAATATAGTTGCCTCTAATCATAACTCTTTCATACCTTCATAAAGGCATTTTGCTCTTTAGAAATGACACATAAATTACCAAAATTCTCTGAACAAATAGTTCCAATGATAATGTTGCTCCTTTATTAATATAAGCATCCTAAGCAATTCACTGTTATAAACTATACTTAACAAAATAAGCACCTTGGTCATAGTATGAGCACATATAACATAAGGATTTAATAATGTCTGCATATTAAATTGTACCATGTGTTCACCTGCTTGAACTGGGTACTAATCTGAATTATATTGTATATGTAGACTCTGCCACACCGATTAACAATGTAAAGCTATTTCACATGGACTTTTCAAAAAGTCCTGCAAACACACCTGCGTTTCTGGTGGTGAGATACATCATCTTTTTCTTTTTTTTGCTGCTTAGGGTTCCACAGAAAGGTCCTGAATGATGAAAAGACAAATACAACTTGAACAGAGTGTCAAAATAGGATACCACTGCCCTGTGGATTCGACAGGGGGGGATCTTCCCAGTAATCTTCCCAGTGTTGCATCCTACAAAGCAGAATGGGGCAGGCGAGCCACTGAATTCTGGTACCATACCAGCAGGTGGCAGAAAGGGATCAAAAAGTCTACTTTTGAGAGCGACACAACAAAGCAGATGGGAGGGGTTAATTCTAGACATACAGGAAATAAATTCACTTGCTAATTCCAATGAAAGAGGCAAAGAAGGTGTCCACAGAGGACCACTTGTTACTTATTACGCGGAGCTCATCACCTGAATTGTCCCAGTCTCTTCTAACAAATGCCTTTCTCTTCTCTTCCAGGAACTGGCTTGGAATGAGCCCAGCGCTTCCTCCCTCTTTTACATGGCTAGCCTAGAATCAAATTAATGAATTGCATATCTCAGTGACCAAAACTTGAGACGGTATTCTAAAAAGCAGAACAAGCAGTAGTCAGTAAAAAAATACCATATTTGCTCTTAAAACTGATCTTGAGATTTAAACACTTTGTCAAGTCATTTAAACACTTTAGCTCTGAGGAATCAAGTGGCACCTAGTCAACCCACCCACCACCTGTAAGAACAATTTGGGACCAAAATAAAGAAGTACACAGGCTCTTTAAATTATTAAAACTTTTTATTTATAACAGTAAGCTAGTCAAATAGAAAGGAATAAATGCTAGTCTATGTGCTTACAGGACATTTTATCTAGCATCCTTCAGTAAGATATTACTATCAGCCTTAATCCTACCACGCTGGTATTTCCTGAGGCCAAATCAAAGAGGCAGACAGCATCGGGAGAACAGAGGGGAGCATTTAACTCGCTATCAGCAATCTGAGTATCCTGAGAAACAGTAAGTTTAAAAGAGTAAAACTTCACCTACCGTCAAGAACCAACTTTCAAAGTAAAATCCAAAGAAGCGCTAGTTTAACATAGTGGCTGGAGAACTGGCTACTAGTGGCTTATCCCACAAAGTTAGTCACTTTATTCTAACAAACAAGCATTAAAAAAAGAAAATCTGGTACATTTTTTAGCAATTAAAATCCTGGGGGGAAAAATAGAATTAAAGGAACAGACCACAAAATGCAGGAAGAAACTGAGATAATGGTGAAAAGGATTAGATGAGAGGTGGCATTCAAAAAGTGGGGAAAAAGACAATATTGGGAAAGTTCAATAAAGGAAACAGCCACAGAAGGCAGATTTTTCAGGTGAGCAATGTAAGAAACTCAGTGGAAACTACTCAAAATCATGAACTTAATTTACTCATTTCTTAGTTTTCTAACCTGTTGCACAGTGCAGTTGTACAGATTGACGTCTTAAATATAAGGACACACCAGTGAGATTGTTCTCATTCTTGTAATTCATTCCCCTCAGAAGCCAATATAACTTATTAGAGCTAATGTGAGTTTCTGATATCTCAGTCTGATTTAGTTTGGAGCTAGGTCCTGGTCCATTTTTCTCACAGCTTGTTTTTCAACAAGACTCTTACAGTTTAAGGGAGGTTAGACTTTCCGATTTGCTAGTTTTCTCCAGTTCTGAACACTGTGGTGTTGGCCAACGTAAACAATGACAAAAACAGCCTTATTATTCTGAAAGCTGTGTTAAGGGAAGGAAGAAGATCATCATTACACAGCTTTGAAAAACAGAAGGGGTAAAATACAGCACTAACACACATTCTTTCCATATACACAGAATTCAAACCTCGATCAAAAACAACACTGACAATAAAGCACGCCTTCATTTCTCAATAAATGAGAAGAGGTGGGCAAATAGATTTCAGAGCTTAAAAATTATGTATTATTTATACTCCCATGAAAGTATTCAGAGGGAAGGGAGACAAGAGAAAGACTACTACAGCCACAATAAAAGACTTCTTAGTAAAAACAAAAACACTGAAAAGGGAGGCCCCCAAATGTGTTGTTCCTGCCTAATTCTGTATCTTACTGCAATCCGCCAGGGGAAGCACCAGCAGGTCTAATCCCGAAACCAGCAGTGGCTCCACAGGTTAGCTAATTCTGCGTTTATTAACAGCCACTCACAAATTCCCACTCAATTTGGTCTTCTGTCCACAAAATTAGCAGCCCTGCAGCCAGAGTTGTTCATGCAGGTAAAAGCACTGGAACGAATGCTAATATCTCTTTCCTGAATATGCAGACATTGGCCACATTAAGGATGAAAATAAAAAAGCAGGTGAGGACTTCTGGGCGGCACACTCACCTGCCACCAATTTGGATCTTCTCTGTTTACAATCTGAAGAATTTCTCCTTTCGAAAACTTCAATCCTGCCTCTTTGCAAGGTATCAGGCTATCGTTGTATGGATTGTAATCAAAATGACATTTCACAAATACCTAAAACACACAGTTAAAAGTACTGTTAGAACAAGGAAATGAAATGGAAACAATTAAAAGTACTATAGATGCACCATTTATCACGGGATTTTTTAAATCTTTTTCAAACCACGTTGATTTTATTGCAATTGATAATGTATTTAATACTTCAACTATGGAACTTGTCTTTCTCAAGTAAAAATTAAATTATTAGAACATCAATAATTTGGTATCTGAAAAGAAAATATGAAATAAACATCAGCACCACATTAACATCCTAAATAGTATATGCAGTTTATTTAAAGCATATATTTCAGATATATCAGGACTGACTTTTTAAAAGGGCTCTGAAACCAAAATTAAATAAGGAAAGTTCATGTTGAAGTCAAAATATATTTAGTAACCTTTAAAAAGTAACCACATAGACTTACCAGTATACTGGCTAAAACTAGTGTGGAAAATATTTTTCTGGAATCATCTTGCTCTGATTTAAATTATCACTATTGAATTAAATAAAGTAAGTATTGAAAAAGGCTGGAAGCTATTTTAAACTCATTTAATTATACAAATTTCTTTTGAATCTGTTTTTATCAATATAAGTATGTCAATTACCAGTTAGTTATGATCTCCAGTATCTAGAATATTTTGCTTAGTCACTTTAATTTGAATTCTAATTAAGCTAAGCATTTTCAGTATTTGATGGCAAGTTCAGACAGATTACTTTCTTAAAACAATTTTTTTCATGCATATTTATAGAGATTCAAATTTTATCTTCTAAAGAACTTACTTAGCATTAATCAGGTAAACTTTAACAAGCAGGAAAACACATAATTAGTCAAAATGTTATTTTTCTACTTATCATATTTCTATAAATATAACCACACAAGATATTCAAATAACACAAGCAGATACATTTTATTATTAGTGTAGTAAAATGCAATATTGTGGATGCATATTGGAAAATTTGATAAAATTTTAGTTATTTACGATTAGATGATTTTCAAAGAAAGCATTCTGAACATTTTCAATAACTTTGGAAAGGCTAAATATTAATGCTTAAAAAAATCAGTAAGCCAATAATGTTTTATGATATACAATTTTTAGAAATATCTAAAATGCAAACATCAAGTAATATTAAGCTTGCCTAAAACATGACAACTGGCTAACTTGACAACAGCATGCAGCTCAATGATTTGGCAACGGAGAAAATCCAAATGATTACGTTTAATCAAGGCAGACTTAGCTGTCTGAGAGGACAGAGAAATGGGGTGGCAGAGGATGCCCTGGAACAACATCATACCTGCCGGACGCGGGCTGGATGCCTCTCCATATTGATGCCACTCTAAAAACACATTGTTCATTGCATAAATAAAGCCGGGCTTTACAGGGACAATGAATCAACAAAATATAAACAAACACTGGCCCATTTTATTACTTCGTTCCTTTAGTCAAGCAACTACTGACCGAAAGAACTGTCCATATCTGAACATTACAAATCAAAGCAGCAAAAAGATAGAGGGGTTTGAGATGAGGCACAGGAAAAGATGAGTGTGCAAAGTTGTAAAAATACTGGGATACGCCTTACTTCTCAAGAAAGCTGCACTGAATGAATAATCGTGCCTGTGTATTATTCTTATCTGTGGACAGAATATGTTTTGTAACCATAAAGCTTATACTTTTCGAGGAAGTCCAAATTTCAAACATTCATTCCCCTACTCCCATCAAATTGTTCAGAAAACGTCATTATTTGTGGAACAAAAACGATACTTTTCAAGTGTAAATAATTCCTAGAAGAAATAATCTTTATTAATTTATCAAATTAATTTTGGAATATATTAAACTGGTTTTGAACTTTGAAAATTTGTCTGAAAAAATTAATGAACCCAATCTTTGATCTAAACATTTTGTAATGACCTTAAAGCCATTAGATATTTGTCAGGTATAACGACATTTTATTAAGTGCATTTTAAAGGGTTTCACTAAGAGGCTATGGATGTTAACTATTCACTCGTTATTAAAAAGTTGCTAAACACAACCTAAAATATTTCAACCCCATATTCTGAATGACTAACAATCTAAAGAAAATGCAAGAAAGAAAAGGAAGTACAATGGCTTTTAAACACAGGAGTTTAAAAATTCAAAAATTCACAAAATAAGGCATTTCAGAACAATTAAATAGGATACTTGGCCTCCTCTTTTCTTCAGCAAAAGAGTAGCAACTGTGGCTAGTTATATCCAACAGTGTGATTAAAGATAAAGGTAATCTAGAGATTACCAGGAATCTTATTACTAACCTGTTGAGGAATAACGGTATCTCTATAGCTTGGTAAAATTTTTAGGGTGACACTTCCACTAATATTTTTCAGTAATTCTTGTAATTCCTTTGGATTGTTTCCAACCTCGTGGCCATTGACTTCTTTGATGATGTCCCCCACATGGAGCAGCCCTTGTCGATCTATCATGCCTCCATGAAGGATTCGGGCGATTACCAGGTCATTATTTTCAACCCTGAAGGTTACACCCTAAAGGAAATAAGGAACGGAACTGTCATTGATTTTAGACTCAAAAATAAATTTTAAATACTCATGAATATATATATTCCTTAAATCATGTGCAATTGTGATAATACACACCACCCTCAAAAAAGGACTTCCATGGTAAGTCCTCCATTCCACAGGATAGAGGTTACCTCAGAGGGACAAGAAAAGACAGATATGCCTTGTTCCTGGCTTTTCTTTCCCCCCATTTCACTGTTTTTATAAGTCAGGATCCAAAAATAACAATGTTAAGTAGGAAATTGTAAACGTAGAGAACTCTCCCTACCATTTCTTCACTTTTTAATAACAACTTTCTTCCATGTTTTGGTACTTCATCAGCAAGCAACCTGAGCTGAGTTCTTCAAATGGCATAGGGAAAAAATAAAGTACTTATTTCCTGAAATATTTGCTACCCACTGGCAAACTTCTGGCTTCTATTTCAGTTTAATTTTTTTCTTGGTTTAATTTTGTATGCTAAATCAAGTTGAAACAGCATCAGGAGTATATTTTAGACCACATGTGTCAAACACAAGGCCCGCGGGCCAAATCCGTCCCGCCAGGCCTTGCAATGTGGCCCGCACCGCGCTGTCATCACTGCACTCCGCTGCGTTTCCATCACAATGACAGTTTATGACTGTTCAGTAAACCATTCGGCCCGAGATTTAGGCTGGATTTTAGATTTTGGCCCCTTCTCTGATTGAGTTCGACACCCCTATTTTAGACAGAGTCCAAAAACCACGTAAAACAAATACAATTTAAGTTTTCATAATGATACGAGTTCTGAAAGTGAAGAAAATGAGAGTTTAATTTATCGACTCACCAATGGCTCCCCAGCCCTTTTGTGAATACCAAGAATACGGATGGCATCTACTGGTAACAACTGATTATTCACAGAATTATTCATTTCCGGGCTCGATGGAGGTGAATCATAACACTTTGATGCCACTATATCATGGGCTTCCAAGAGTGACTGTAAGGATTCAAAACATAAATCGAAGGTAAAATTTTTTTCCGAGATGTTAAAACGCACGTTCAAAAACAAGTAAATCAAAATGCAAAGCAGAGCCCGGCTGGCATGCCTCAGTGCGCTGCGCACAGAGCCGTGAGCCAGGAGCTCACTGTTCAATCCCCATCAGAGCACACGCCCAGGCTGTGAGCTTAATCCCTAGAAGGGACACGGTGTGCAGGAGGCAGCTGATCAATGATTCTCTCATCATTGATGTTTCTACCTCTTTCCCCTTCTCTCTCTGAAATCAATAAAAACATGTATTTTTATAAAAAATATGAAGAATGAAGCAAATGTCAACTGTTTCAGAATATAGATAATTAACATATAGGTTTTATAGATAATTTCTGGCTATTTCACAAAAATATGTGTAAGAGACTAAAGAGCATTTTCAAACAGGAAAAGGCTGCCTCCTCTCCCTCGTGGGGAACCAGGCACACCCCGAGGCAGGTGCCCTGACTGAGAATGGAGCGGGGACCTGCTGGTGCTTGGGTGGGTGCTTTCTTCCTTCTTTAGTCAAGGTGCAAATATACCTAAAAATAAAAAATTAAATAAAGAAGGAAAAGGGCACAAATCGTGTAAGGGAGCTATTCCTATAAATGCTGCAGTCACTCAAATCTCTAACCTGGTCTTTGTTTTTACTGTTCTCGCCTCTAAGGAAATATTCATTCCTACTATTTATATATTGTTAATTCCCAATTTTATTCCTTTCTTCCAGATCTTTCATTACTTTAGATTGATAGACTAAAAATCTGCCTACAACATAACACAATTATGATAATTTGAAAATAAAAGAGTAAGCATTGTAGAGGACTGAAACATATTGAATTAATGAAAAATCCATAACTCCACAGTGCTATTTAAAAAACCGAAGACTGAAAACACTCTTCATTAATACAGACAAATGCTATTTTAAATAATTCTTTACTTTGAAAATTGGTAAAGGAAAGGATCAAGCGTTTCACTGACATTTCAGTGGGAAATGCATTACAGAGTAACTCAATGACCCACTCGATGAGGAAAAACCTTTTCTATATAAGAACACTAGCTAACATATGCAGAGTGAGAGAATCTGAAAAATGTCATGTGCAACCTCTAATGAAAATATTGATTCAGGCAAGAATTATTAATGTAGGTAAATGGTTGAAAGGAAACAGCATTTGTATAATGCTAGAATAATAACGTACTAGATTACCTCTAGTGGAAAAGCTTTCAAAGGAAGGGTTAGGCTGTCATTGCCCTTAATCAGGGACCAAACTCGGCATCAACAGTAGTGGGCCAACCAGGCACTACACATTTCTGATACAATTTAATTCATGTTGCATCATATCATTTAAAATGAACTTGAATTCCAAATAATTAACTTGAATACCGACCTTTTAGATAGAACTTCTGTTTACAGGAAATAGGAAGGATAACTAAACAACACAGAAAGGAAGCAACCAGATACATCCAGAAAGTTGGACATGCTGCCGGATAGTAACCTGACCTCTTCAAAAGGTCAATATCATAATCAAGGGAGAGAGATGGTCCAACCAGAGGCTGCACAGGGACCAAGGCTGGGAGCCTGCGTGTGCGAACCAGCTGTAAAGAGTATTTGGCATCAAATAAAGACACCTGAATACAGCATGTGCACCTGAGACAGAGGTCCACTCACATGGAAAAGTGGCAATCAATGATCGAAAAAAAGGGTGAATTACACAATACCCTGTGAAAAATGATCTCAATTTGTAAAGAAAAGAAAGTACATTTATGCACAGGAAAAAAATGGAGGAATATGCACTAAGATAATACAGTAATTTGGGTCATAAGAATGCCTTAATTTTTGTATTTTTGCTTGCTATTTTCTAGTTTTATATAAATGTATACTGATTAAGTTTTATGTATTTACTTAAAATATAGATAGCTTGCCTAAAAGCACTACCCAGATGCTCTGGAGGTATCACAGACCTAACGTGGCCTCAACATTCACATGTCGTTTCTCCTAGAGGATTCCTAATCTTAGTGATGCCAACTGTCATAAATTCCACCCTTAATCAACTTCCCACAGCTCTTTTCTGCAACTGTCACATGTAACCAGTCGCCAAGTCCTGTTGATTTTGTGTCTTAACACTGGAAAATCCTCATTTTATACTGCCACCACAACTTCTCGCCTCAGTACTTAACAATCTAGCTCCATAATCAGACCTCTCCCTGTTAAATGCCCACTCTCATCCCCACCCATGGTTTTCTGCTGTCCTATAGATTAAGGCCCAATACCTTAATATGTTTTATAAGGCATTAACCAACTGGCCCCTGCATAAGGGGTGTCTCTAATGTGTCCATGTTTTTGTACCTAAGATATTTATGTGGGAACCATCGCACTCTAAATCTTCATGTTTTACATTAACACTGTTGGGATCAGACAAAGTCTTTGAGGAAAAAGCAAGGGGTGCTGTCCCCCAAGATCTTCAGTGGAAAGCAAGGGACAGTTTATTTCTCTATCCCACACCCATTTATTACACAGTCCATTCTTCCCCCTCTCAAATGTAACTCTATCATAAGACAGGTCGCCATATGTGTATGGATATATTTTTGGAGTTGCTATTCTTGTCGATTAATCTATTTTCCTAATGCTAACCCAATATCACACTGCCTTCATTACAGATTTTTAAGAAATCTCCTCCACTCCCTTTCTCTCCTGAAACTAGTTTTCCTTTGTTAAAACGATTAACTCTTCATTGATATAGACCAGTGTTTCCCAAACTTTTGACATATGTGTACCCCTTCTATAATTTTCGTAACGCTGAGTACCCTTCGTACTCATGAGAACGTAGAATTAGGCGCAGCTAAGCACGGTGCAGTGCCTATTCCCACCAAACTCTTCCCGTACCCCTGAAGGTACGCGGACCACACTTTGGGAAACACTGATATAGACCAATGTTTACATTACACTTATTTTTTGTATCTATCAAAAGTATGTTATGTACTTCCTATCCTTACATTGCTCTCTGATGTCCCAAGGTTATCAACTACATCCCAATCCTAGAAGCAACACTGGTCACAAGGAGGTCTGGAAAACAGTGGTAGTGAAGAAGAAAAAGCCACTATCACGGAGAAAGATGTTTCTAGCATATGATCTGATGGTGAATCAGATTTGGTTTTTTGTTTTTTTTTTTAAATGACACCAGAAAAATCCTTTCTGATATAATGTGTTTTAGTTACATGTGTGTATCCTCAGAATCAGATTAAAACATCTATGTTGGAATTTACACATGGATCTAAATAATATTTAAGACCTCATCGCAAACCGGAACTTAACACGAAAGGAGACTGTCTGGGAACACAGGAAGTTTACCTGGAAGTGAGGCTCTTTGAGTATCCCAACCAGTTCCGCCACATTTTCATCCACACTGATTAGAGGAGTGATATCTTCAAGAATTTCATTGACTAATTCCAAGTTATTGTCACTGACAGCTTCTAGTTTTGAATCTTCCAGCCTCTCGTGAGCCTTTGAAAAGACAGTATAGGAAAAGTAATAACACATATTGTTTGACTCCAGACTGTGGTTTTCCTCTTGATTTGCTTCTTTTCATAAAGTTTTAAAAGATGTGACTTAAAAGTGTGATTCATAGAAACCAAATTTAATATTTCAATCAGAGGCAATATACAGATTTTTGTAAGTAAATGATTTCATGCAGTATAATAAATGTTGGCCTCTATTCCTATCCGAGGCCATGAAAAACTCATTTTTATAATTAAGCTATGAAAAAAAAAAAAAGAAAACCACAACGAAATATGCTGTCCTTCAAGATCCAGTTCAAGAACTGTTTCCCTGAACTGATTTATTTGCTGATTTGGACTATGAGTTTCCCAAAATGATTTTTTTTTGAATGGTGATTTATATAATGATTATGTTCCTAATAAAGTTTCATCTAGAATTTGAGCCTAGACTAGAAAGTCATTAGAAAATTCTGTTGGATAAGAAGTATGTTTTTTATTGTCATGTGGCCTATTTAACTTTGTTGTTGTTGTTTATTGATTTCAGAGAGAGGAAGGGAGAAGGGGAGATAGAAACACCAATGATGAGAGAGAATCATTGATCAACTGCCTTACCTACACTACTTATTTGACTTCTTCACTATACAGACAACCATGCTAACCTCACCTGTTGTTACAATGGCAAATGGGATTTTAAAGAAAATATATAGCTTTTTAGCTCTAAGATTTTGTGAAAGAAATTTAAAGTCAGAATTTATTTAGTAGGTTTCAAGAGATAAGAGTACCAACTGGAATTTACCTAATCTAACCAACGACAAAGGAAACTCTGATAGATGAATCCCATGCATTTGAATAAATAGGTCTTGTCTCCTTTAAGAAAAAGTATTACTAGAAAGCCAGCATAATTCAATAAAAACATGTCACCTGCCACAAGTGACTGGCATAGCCTTCTTGTACAGCCAGTTCTGAGAAGTCTATTCACCACCGCACCTCAGAAAAATAAACTGCAGAGAAGAAAATGCTCTTCCAGAACTTCCAAGTATTTAACCCAAGCATAGTCCAACCATGCTTGCAAAAAAAACCCAAAAAACAAACAAACAAAAAAACACAAAAAATGACCTTTTTAAACAAGAATTGTGGGCTATATCTAAAGTGACAAATACTATTCTCTATTAATAATAATAGAAACAAGATGAAATGTATGCTAAGAATAAGGTTGGCGCCAGGCCTCTAGAGTGTGTGTGTGTGTGTGTGTGTGTGTGTGTGTGTGTGTATGTGTGTATACATACATATATATATATATGTATGTATATACATACATATACATATATATATATATATATATATATATATATATAAAACTTACAGTTGGGCAATCTGCAGGTGGCTACCTGGGGCCGAAACCTTTATATCATGTGATCTTAGAAAGATTAAGTTTATGAGTAAAATAAGGAATCTGCATCATTAATTACCTCTGACCAATGGAAAACTCTGAAAAAGGTATGGTTTTTCAGAAGTCTCAGGAAAAAACAAGTGGCTAAAAAATGATCAAAGGAGAGGGTGAAATCAATATTCTGGGAATGACAAATGGCTCTGTGAAAAAAAGATCAGAGAGCAAGAACCACGGGTGAACCGGCAGAGAGGGAGGGCAGGGCTGTGAAGCATTAAGGCACTGAGCTTTAGTGATGTATGTAAAAATTATTCCAAGAAAATAGTGTAAGAGAAAAAAACTGGGCCAAAAATAGCTATAACTCATTCGAGTTAAAGAGATTATTACAGAGCTGATATGGAAATAGACTTAAAATACCAGGGCTATCCAAGAGAAAATAAAATTTCAAAAAGTTCTAGATGTAAGAAGTAAAAAATAGGTGCATGGTCTAATGTAAAAAAAGAAAACCAGCCCCTGAAATCTGTGTAATTTTATTACCCAATATTATCTCAATAAATCCAATTTAAAAAAAGAAAAGAGGATGTCCGCATTTTGCTATTGCTAAAAATGAAGACAGAGCCAGGATCTTTTTCCTGTAGTGTAGTAGGGCCCACTACACTACAACATGACGGTTCAGTTACGATTTCCCTAAAAGTTTAAAAGTGCTGTAACAAATTTTGATGTATACTGAGATTTCATTATGTGGTATTATTTGCTAACTAAGCCTAAGTTCTAACACAGTAATATCTGAAAAGACCTCTGTAAAAATACTTTAAGAAAACAATTTAGTAATCTTATGAATAAACCAATATACCTTAGCAAGTGACTTCACGATTGGGTTCTCCATAATCCCCTTGAGGAAAATTAGGTCTATCTCTTCTGCTCCCGTGGAGGAGGGCAGCTCCGTAAGGTTATCCAGCACCTGCTGCATTTCTGCTGAGATAAGAACAACGTGTTAAAACCACCTCCGGTGAGCACACTGTGCAATGCAGAGACAATGGATTACAGAACTGTACACTAGAAACATGTTATTAACCAATGTCACCTCGATAAATGTATTTGTACGCTCCTTAAGATTTTAAATATATAAGATCATGTCAAAAAAAGGATAGTTTTACTTAATCCTTCCCATAGCCCTAGCTGGTTTTGCTCAGGGGTCAGAGGATCTCAGATGGTTTTTTGTTTTTGTCCTATCACTAGTACAGTGTATTACACTGATAGATTTTCATATGTTGATGAACCGCCCTAGCATTCCTGGGATAAATTGTACTAGTCATTATATAAAATCCTTTTCAGTGTTGCTAGATCCAGTTTGCTAGTTTTTTATTAAAGATTTTTGCATCTTCATTTATAAAGGATATTTATTGACTGTCATTTTCTTGTGATGTCTTTGTCTGGATTTGGTATCTCACAGATTAGTTGGGAAGTGTTTCCTCTCCTTTTTTGGGGAGAGTTTGTGAAGAATTTGTTTTAATTCTTTAATATTTGATAGAATTCACCAGAGAAGCCATCTGATACAGGGCTTATGGAAAGTTGTGTGTGTTTTTTTTCAATGTTAATTCTTACCCTGGGATATTTTTTCCATTGTCTCAGATAGAATGGAAGGGAGGGAGGGAGACACACAGAGAGAAACATCAATGTGAGAGAGTCATATTGATTGGTTGCCTCCTGCAGTGTCCTTGACCGGATTTCAACCTGAGATCCTCTGAGCAAAACCAGCTAGGGCTATGGGAAGGAGTTAAATAAAACTATCTTTTTTTTTTTTTTTTTTTGACATGATCTTATATATTTAAGATCTTAAGGAATATACAAATACATTATTATAAATGAGTTCTGCAAGGTTACAGGATACAAGATCAAAATACAAAAATCAATTCTGTTTCTATATACTAGCATTGAACAACCCGAAAATGAAAGAAAATCATTCCTTTTACAACAGTATAAAAAACAAAACAATTATTAATAATGTAACAAAAGAATTGCAAGATTTGTATACTAGAACTATAAAATGTCTATTTAAAGAAGACAAATAATAGAAAAATATCCCAAAATTCACAAACTGTTAAGATGACAATGGCAATATACACCAACTGACCTACAGATTTAATGCAATCCCTATCAAAATCTTAGATGCCTGTGGGTTTGTTTTTGCAGAAATTGATAAGTTGATTCTAAAATCCACATGAGAAATGCAGGGAGCACAGAATAGCCAAACAAGCTTCAAAAAGAACAAAGCTGGGAGAGCCATACTTAATTTCAAATCTGACTGAGAGCTACAGTACTCAGAAAGGCATAAAGATACAACTAAGAATCCATACATTCATAGTCAATTGATTTTCAGCAAGGGTGACAGGACAATTCGATGAAGGAAAGAATCGTCTTCCCAACAAATGGTACTGGGATAACTGAATACGCACATGTAAGAGAGTGACCCCCACCTCCCCCACTTCATTCAGTATCACTCATTTTCTTCAGTTTAATTTACTAATGTTATCTCTTCATAATTTTAAAGAATTAGAATAAATCTAATATTGTAGTTGTCTGGTTGTAATATATCCTTTTATTAAAATTAAAATAAACATTAAAAGTCACATTGTATCACTAAGTGGCTTATAATGAAATATAGCAGTGCTCTGTTCCATACTATCTGCCCCCCTCCAAAAGTAACGACTTTGATTTTAAGTTTCTTTTAATCACACCTATGTTTCTGGATAAATGCTCACATTGCTACCTTTTAATTTACCCACTTATCTATTCATTTTCTGTTAGAACACTAGGCCTGCCCACACAGCCATGTCTTCTGGCCACGCCCAGCTTGGTTTTCCCCGAAAGGAAATGGCCAAGGAGCTCCAGGAAAGCTGAGCGCACACTACAGGGCAACAGTGTGCCACAGAGATTTTTAAAACATGCGACACTTAGGGGCAGTGCCCTCTTTTCACATAGATTGTCAAATAAAAATAACAGCCAACAAAACAATAGCCATCGATGTGAATGAATTAAAACTATACTTTTTTTTTTTTGTCATATAGGCAAAAAATACATTTTTTGGTGTGCTGCGGAATGCTAGTGTTAGTTTGTGTGTGCGGCCAGAAGAAAAGGTTGAAAATCACTGCCATAAACGCATGACGTTCTGCATGGGGTGGGGAGGCCCTGGCATCTGGCAGCAATGGGCTGTCCAGGTGAATGTGATGCTGGGGAAGGCCCACAGCAGCCAGGTGTCTGTACGGCTGTTTTTGTGAAGACGCAAACATGGACTTTTTGATAAAATCTTGAAGAAGACCTCATGTCCCTGTGGGACTCAGGCCCCCAAAGACTTGCAAGTGGAGACCACATACTCAACGATTTAGGCTTCGGCGCACCAAGCCGGAGCCCCAGCTGCGGGCGGAGGACGAGCAGGATGCTACCGTGGGAAACCCCGGAATGGGCACACTGCCGGATGCCACCCACGCCAGGCTCCCATTCCTAATGAGCAAGGACTTCTCCTGCCTGCTGAATCTGAAACACCAGCACCTCCTGCGAGGGTGTGCCTCTGACAACCTGCTGGAATGCCCTCTGGGGGACCCAGGTCTGCAAACTGAGAACCTGCACTATCAGCAGGAACTGACTGCTGGGCCACCCTGGCCAAAGCACCAAGGGAAAGCTCTCAGCAACAATACCAGCAGCCAGCCGAAACCAGTGTGGTTCAGTGGACAGAGCGTCGGCCTGCAGACTGAAGGGTCCCGGGTTCGATTCCAGTCAAGGGCCTGTACCTTGGTTGCGGGCACATCCCCAGTCGGGGGTGTGCAGGAGGCAGCTGATGGACGTTTCTCTCACATTGATGTTTCTAACTCTATCTCTCTCCCTTTCTCTCTGTAAATCAATAAAAAACAAAACAAAAAAACAATACCAGCAGCCAAAGACCTACCCAGTCCCCTGACATCTCCCCAACACCCAGCAGGTGACATACTCCGCACCGACAGGAGAGGACTATGAACTTGCAGCACTCGGCACTTCGGAGAGGTGCAGAGCTTCGTGGACAACTGTCCACACTGGGAGCGCTCCGGGAGGGTGCCGAGGCCTCTCGCTGAAGATGGAGCGGACAGACCTCGCTGTGTTTGCAGGCAACCCCAGCACATCCGGCTCGGCAGGTGCAGACAGGACCAGCCAAGCCCCACTGAATCCCAAGCTCAGAAGACCGTCCCAGCCCTTTCAGACGGGCAGTTTCACAACAGCTGCTAAGACTATTTTCCCCTGGTGCACTTTCTTTCTGAAGTTGCAGTCAGATGTTATTCTTAATGTTCCTGTCAATGCTTCTTTAAACATCCTTACTTAGGCCCTAGCCCATTTGGCTCAATGGATGGAGCATTGGCCTGTGGACTGCGGGATCCCAGTTCGATTCCGGTCATGGACATATGCCTGGGTTGCAGGTTTGACCCCCAATGGGGGCATGCAGGAGGTGGTCAATCAATGATTCTCTCTCATCACTGATGTTTCAATCTCCCTCTCCCCTCTTCTCTCTGAAATCAATAAAAATATATTTTTAAAATAAAATAGAAAGTCCTCACTTGGTTTTTATCACAGTTCACTTTCCCTGCTCCAGGCTACTTAATCCCTAAAGTGAAAGTTGAGATGAGGGGCCTCTGTGTCTTCTGGATCTTCCCCTTGTCCATGGTTAAATGGGACCTATTTGGGGCACCTCAGGGGTGAGTGGCGGGAAGGCAGACAGAAATTGGTGGGAGGTTGGGTGAGGCGATGGGTAGGTGTAGAACAAGTTGCCCTGGGCTCCGGTTAAACCAGGATGTCAGAACATTAACACAACTTCTCTGCCATGCAAGGACCTGGCCTAACACTTCTGTTCTACACTCCGTTGTGAATAAAACAGACAGTGTCTGACACCTGGCAAACTCCCATGACCCCTCTTTTACTGAGGTGAGGTGTGACACTATGGAGGAATGGTTTCCCCTAACAAGTCAGCTTACTGGCTTGACTTTATAAATTAGTTGTCTAATAAAATGAACTATTAAAAAATACAATTGTTCTTACTTTAAATTATCCTAAACACATGACAAAATAATGAGAAAATGTATAAGAGATGAGTAATAATTAACCTTATAAAACATTGAAAAGTTAACCTAATCTATAATTACTCAGACATGGATAACCACAAGATAACTCTAGAGTATGTAAAAGTTTAATGTATGAGTTAGAAGTTCTCGGTAGTGGGAACCTTGCAAAACTGGGTGGGAGCCAGAGAAACAGGGAAGTGTCCAATGTACTCTGAGATTCCAGGAAGAAAGGAAAAGTCCCAAAGCTCAGAAGGTCAGATTTTTGCAAGTTCCACTCCTCCTGCATAATCACAAGGACAGACCCTTTAACCAGAAGCTAGATTCAATGACATATAAGTGGAATTCCTATTTGAGCTGTAGAAAAATTAATATATTTAATCTGGACCATTCAATTACAAATATGAACAAATCAAGAATCAAAAAACACTTATGAAAACGAGCAGCATGAATGCAACTCAACTAATTCAACAAACAGAAGCATCATCTGCCAAAGGAACTTTGGAATGTGTTGGGGAGAGGAAAGAAAGCAAAATGGATAAAGAAAAGGATTAAGTTATAATGTGTGGGAAGATCAAATTGAAGAATTCTCCCATAGAAAAGGGCAATGAGAGAAAGTATGAGAAAACCACTGTGGATTATGAAAGACTAAAATTTATAAGGTAATGGGAAACTAAGAAATAGAAAAAAAAAGAATTAATAATAGGGAAAGAAGAAATCAATTAAAAAATAAAGAACCAGAGATTTAGTCAATAAGCTGGCTTTTTCAAAAGATCAGCAAAAGTAGACAAATACTTGGCTAGTCTGATTACAGTAAGAGAAGAAACATAACATTAGAAATGCAATGAGAAAATAATTGCAGGCATAAAGATTAAAAAGAGAACACAAATA